TACAATTTTACATTATCATCGCTAAATACATAGACTCAGGGATTATCCGTCACACTTCACATAATAGGATTATTACACTTTGCGATACAAAGATATAATCCCAAAGTGATGATACCTATGCCTGTAAGGTGGGAGAGCGACAAGAATATGAGTCTAATGCCGTATATATGTCCATCATAACAATTATTCTCTCTGTATCCTAGACACAAGACCAGGTTCAAAACGCAGACAGCAGTTAATGGAGAGATGCATAGATGGAATTCCCTGACTCCTACAAATGCTAACACGTTGATAATACAGAGCCCTAAGAACGCCGATCAAATAAAATGATCCCTGTTGTTACAATCAGGCGATGTTACCGGCCATACCCATGAAAATTGCCTGGGCAGCCAACTGAAGTGACCAAAACCCAACCTTTTTGAATCGTCGTTTCCGGGCTTGATCATCCACAACATCCCGGGCAAATGCATCGTAGGTCTTGGAACTTATCAGTACTGACTTTGTACGAACCAAAAGGGAAGCACTCACCGCAGCTGAAAGGTCGTCCATCAAACTGCTGTCAAAGATAGTCCAGCTTCCATCGAAATCTCCAACGCGCTTGACCAGACGGCAGTTGATTGGGATGAATGTTCGCTTCGAGTTGATATAGGCAACAATAGGCCGGATAAGGGCGTTATTGATGTAAGAAAGGTCTCGGGTGAAGATAGGCACAACTGCTCGAACATTATTCAGATGCACGCGCAAATCCATGACAAGGAAACGGCGGTCCTCATTGTCAGATTCCTGACCAGATGTTGACGACAGAGACTCCGGATAACGATTAGAGATCACAGTTGCCTCTAGTCGATCATAGAAATCGGCCATCACCTTGGCCAAGCTCTCATTATTCTCTGCAGGGAACATGATATCGGCTACAATATCCACGGTTCCCTCGTGGATCCAAGAGAAAGGACCCTGAACACCGCGATTAAGATGGTCAACATTAAGTCCGTCGACGCGTATCCTGTTGTGCTTCTTCCACGGGCTGGGTTTGCCATCTCTCTCTGCTCCGTCATCCAACCTCGTGCCTGTAAAGCCATGACTCTGACGAGCATGGATCGTGAACAAAGAGTTGTCATAGGACCCGGACATCATGTTGGCAGAAAGGAAGTCATAAAAGAGCCATTGTTTCCGCAATTGGGGAAGGTCGCAAGAAAAAATGCTAACAGAGAATGGTCGAAAGTTGTCAGGTTGATATATGGTGACAAGAAGGTCATCCATTTTGAATGAGTCAATCTCAAAGTCACCGGGATTATGCTCATGTCGGTAGGATTTGGGGTCCAGGTCCTCCTCTGGCCAGTAAACATGCCGGCGGTCGACGACACCCCGTATGCCTTGCACCTCCACATCACGGAGTGGACCTTTCCCATTGAGCCACTTGGTGAACGACAGTGTCACATTAACCGTCTCGATCGACAAGTCGAATTGGGTATAGTTGGTGTCTTCCTCCTCATCGGATACGACCTGGGGATCTTCGGATCCAGTTTCACCTCGAGCTGCAGCTGCCGCAGCAGCAGTCTTCGACGAACCCTTACTGACATGACCAGTGCCTTGTCCCGGCCGCTTTGATACAAACACATTCTTAAATGTGATGACTCCATTTCTCCACTTGGGGACGATTGCAGACTCGAAGACAACTTTTACCCCAGAGGATTTGGTGAGATAATTGCCCACCCATCCTGCTAGAGTCTCTGTAGAAAACAAAATTAGGGTTGAACACGAAATGCTAGAGAAAACGACATACCCTGGGCAAAAACCGTGTTGATCGCGAGGATCAGCAGTGAGAAGAAAGTTGTAGTTCCCACAACAACCCAGACAACATGACCCAGGAGGACCCATGAAAAGAGGGCGGTCATCTCATCCAAATTGAAAGGACGCACACTTCGTATAGAAAACCACTTGAATCGTACTTTTAACCGTGACCAGAACCCAGTCGCTGCAGCCAAAAGCTCTTCTTTTGACGGCCGGTGCAGATGCGGCATATGAGGTAAACGATCCATCAAATGGCGATTGGATGTTGTCTGTTGAGGGTCATGATATTTTTCCTTGACGGTAGATGTATCCTTGCTATAGCTGACACTTTGGAGATCATGGTCATTTCGTCCTTGTGTATCTTTAGACATATCTTTACCGCGCTGGGAATCATTGGAAGTATGTATGCTGCGACTCCAAACATATTGGGCGGCAATTTTATGAGAGGGGATGATGCGTGCTGTAGTAGTTTCCGCTGCAGTGGGAGTGGGCGAGATACCGAGGACGAAGCATCCACCGGAAGCGAATCTCTTGGTAATATGGGTCGTATTCCGTGGGTGTGTCGAGATTCGGGGTCGACTGGAAATGAAGTCGAAAAGTTTCCTTGTAGAGGTGTCGGAAATGCGATTGATTCGTATGCCAAGGAATGGATTTGCTGTTTCCCAGATGTGGGCGTACAGCCGGCGTCCCAGATTGGCAGACATATCTTGTCTTCACATCCTGTAGTGAAAACAAGGAGCTTGAAAACTGAGCTCCCGCAAGAAACCGAGAGACTTGTTGACGGGAAGGGAAGCTTGGAAGAGCCAAATGAAATCATCGCCCGCGGTTTGTATTGTTTGCATCAAAAATTTCACACTCCGCCCACACTCAATTTTCCGGGCGAGGGGACTGATAAATTTTGCGATAACAAAAAAGTTGCTTCAGTCACACCATGTCGGCACCTACAGCTCTTCGCCAGCCTGAAGTTACAGGCTTTCAGTCCGAGAATGTCTCTTATGGTATTTTTATTCAACCTCCGACATCCTCTTCACAGCTGACAATCAATAGACCAGGGTGATGAAATCTTGATTGATGCACACGCCTCGACTGATGCGATCAACCCCGTCGTCGAGTCTACCGATGACAGTGAAATGCGAATCGATGAGGAAGGTCGTCCTGTCTTCACCCCTGCCAAGGACGTCGCCACTGCCTATCGGATCGAGACACGAAAAGTGCCTGTTCCTCCTCATCGGATGACACCACTCAAAGCGAACTGGACCAAAATTTGCCCCCCCATTGTGGAACACCTGAAGTTGCAAGTGCGAATGAACATCAAAAGCCGCGCGGTGGAATTGCGAACCTCCAAATTCACCAACGATGTGGGTGCTCTACAGAAGGGCGCAGATTTCGTCAAGGCCTTTACTCTCGGCTTCGACATTGACGATGCGATTGCGCTTCTCCGACTTGACGACCTATACATTGAAACTTTTGAAATCAAAGATGTGAAGACTCTCAACGGAGAGCATCTCGGTCGCGCCATTGGACGTATTGCAGGCAAGGATGGAAAGACCAAATTTGCCATCGAAAACGCCAGCCGGACACGAGTGGTACTTGCCGATCAGAAGATCCATATCTTGGGTGGATTCAAGAACATTCATATTGCCCGAGAAGCAATCGTCAGCTTGATTCTGGGTAGCCCTCCGGTAAGTTTAACGTACAAGTTGAATGATGGGGAATTCTAACGCAAAACAGGGTAAGGTATACGGCAACCTCCGAACCGTTGCCTCACGCATGAAGGAACGGTTCTGATATTATGAGAAGGGTTTCGATCTTATGAGATATCTCATCTCTTCCGGCATGGTGTGGGCGTTAATACAGGAGCATCAGGGTTTACGACTTGTTTTCTTTTCTTTCGAGATTATATGATACTAGGCATGATGACATACAAAATATGAGTTTCATCAAAATATCCAGTCATTCCGATTATATTCGTGTTCAAGTAGTTAGAAAGTCTAAACACCTGGTAGCAGGCCATGTGGTCATCATTTCTTGCGCTCTAATCCTTCTTCAAAGGGTGGTACACCTCCTCAACGCCTTCCCGGGTAATAATCATCATTTGCAAGCCATCACCAACCTCGATATGTCTCTCAACGGCACTTGTAAACGCGTCCCGTACAAGCTGCTTGACTGTGTCCTTGGGAAGAGGCTCAGCCTTTTTGGGTTCCAGTGCATGTCCCTCCCCACTTCCTGGGATGTATTGGTTCTTGAAATTGACTTGGTTGTCCAGGAACGGCATGATCAAGCTTGATGCTGCACCAGCAGCACGGCACTGCTCTCTCTCGTACGAGCCTACCGGGTCGTAACTGTACAACGCTCCCTTGCCCTCCTCATCCAAACCGGCCAAAATGGCATGCACGTAGTAGGGGAAGAACCGCTTCTCGTAGAGAATTGTCGACAGTCGTTGCGCACATGCTCCGACCGACATGGACTTGCCGTGTTGATACTTGTACATCCTCACCATCGTATCCAGCCTTTCCTTGAGGGCGTTGCCGTCCGCGGCAAACCCAACGACGGAGAGTAGAATCTGAGCACCTTCACCGGTTTCGTCATCACCGCCAATCTTGAAGACTTTGGGAACCATGCGGGAATTGATATTGTATCCAGATGTGGAGCGGGTATCGCCGGCGAGAATGGCAAAATCAGAGCCCGTGATGCCCAGGGTGGAACCGCCATTGTCAGTGTAACTAGTATATATCTGTTAGTCAAAGTCCAGACGAAGTGACATCGACTGATTTCATACGGGTAGAAGGAGTGTTGCTTGACAGGAACAGCTGTTGGCTCAGAGAAGGAGTATCCGATGGTCTCACCACGAGACTGGTGGCCCATAAACGACGTCATCTTGGCAGAGGGGATGCTTGATCAAAGAAGTATCACAAGAGTATTTGGAGAGAAAGGATAAAGGTGTTATTGGGAAAGAAAGTCGCGGTTGGAGCGGTTCGTAGAAGGTTGGAAGCAAAGAAGCTGTCTGGGTGTCTGACGCGATGCGGTAGCTGCCTTCCGCTTATGTAAGGGCCTCAAGCTCCCCGGCCTCAAACGTCTACAGGTGCGAAATCTTGTTCCCAGGCAGTTTAATACATACTCTAGTTGGGGAGGCAGTATATCGCTATCTCTTTTCCTACGCTTTGCTTGTTAGGCCTCGTTACTTGTGCCCTAGCTCCCACGGCAACACCATGCTTGGTCTTGGTGCATACGAGAGCAGCAGTGAAGATGAGGTAGAGCTTGATGGACCTTCATCTCAACCCCAGGTATGACTGGTCCATGATCATTACTAAATTTTTACTTGTGTTCACTCTTTATTTCTCTAATAGCATACCAAGGAGCCTTCAGTTAGAACAGCGCGAGCAGACCAGGGTAAGCTTGTTGCGACCAAGTCCACATATCTGGCATTGACACTCACTTCATTTCGAGGTCCAGTCGAGTCACCGTATGAGAAGCCAATGCCAAATATTTCCACCAATACTACAAAATTGGCCCCAGATGGGCCTGTTCTTGGCCCTGAGTCAATTGACAGGGCACCCGATTTGGGGAGCGCGCACATAACAACTGGACGCTCGTCTCCCTTTCTGGCTTCAAGGGCACTCATTCAGGACCTCACACTTCCTCCGGTTCCCAATCTAGACATACCACCGTCACCCCCTGGATCTCCCGATGCAGCCGCAAATGCGAAATTCGAGCATTTCCTCTCGCTCAAGAAGCAGGGTGTGCACTTCAACTCGAAACTTGCCAGCTCCTCATCACTCAAGAACCCTAGCCTGCTGATGAAGATGATGAATCATGCTGGGATCAATGAGCAATCGCAGTATGTCACTTCGCTGCCGGTTGACTTGTGGGATCCTTCCAGTCTACCAAGATGGGGATTCAAGGAAGAAATTTTGAGTATCCAACAAGAGTTTCGTCAAAAGATGGAAGAGAAAAAATCATCGGGCCAACGAAGCTCTATAGATTTTGTCTCTGGCTCTGCGCAAGGGCCTGGTCGCAAAGAAGGTCAATTGGGCTCAAATCCGGTTTAAAAACAATGACCTTCCGATGATCCCACCAACCCAACTATTCCTACATATATGCATACATAACCTGTCCAGCCGTTTGCCAGTTGTGGCATTTGAATTTTGATCTGATCTGAGAATGGCGTTAAAAAAACGAGCCCGACGGTGCCAACGCCCAGTGATACAGTGTATTGCTTGCCCAAAGGAAGACTACGCTTTCCTGTACTCGAGAGACAACACTGGTCTATATTGACTTGATATTGTCACTGCTTGCTCGTAGAGAAAGGACCGTGAACATGATACGAGCAACACTTCCCTTAATCCCCTCGTGGAATCTGGGTAGTACTGAGGCAGTTGGCATTAAAGACATGTCACATGCGCATCACTGTGCTGCATGGCCTCAGCACTCCTCTCTCATTCAACCCCCTCCGCCGCCACCTGCTGCCCCTTGGTGGTTGCGCCTTCTTGCCTTCTCATACAAACTCAAACAAGAAATCAAGACCATTCGATCAAATTCTTCACCATATTCCACTCTGATCTGGATTTTCCCACATTTGCCCGGTCTCTTTGTCCCCGAAAAGACGGCCAGCACCTGCTCAGAGCGCTCATCCAATAGCTTATAGTTTTGCGTGGTCCATTTGGACGGTGCCGAGCCATCAACACCAACGCTGCGTGTTCGCTTCCAAAGAAAAGACCGTCTTGCCCCCGGAGCTTGACTTGGCTCATATGGAACAGCCATTTCAAAGCGGTATCTCGAACTCTGGATATTCTCTTTGGTCATGTCCTCCCACTGGACGCTGCTCATATTGTCGGGATCTCCAAGGCCTAGTTTGTACTCGCCAGAGAATTTCAGAAAATTGGATACGGCCACAATTGGTGCTTGGCTGCTAGCACCAGCATGGAGGGTGAGGTCAGGCTTGTTGCGAGTAAACAATGAAATATCCGCGTAGAAGAGCGGCGTTCCGTCTGTGGAGTTGATGTCATAGTGCCGGTGAAAGATCGACTTAGAAACATCGTATGAGCGAGAAAGGCCGGAAGTTTCGATGGGAGGGTGAGATGCAACCGACCCTGCTCGGCTTGAAGAAGACATGATTATTGTTTGGCTCAATTGACTTGAAAGCAAAGTATACCGGTATTTATGTTCTCAGCATTTAAGGACAATGTGAGCAGGTCATTATGGAGGTGATGATCCATGGTTCTTGGGGAGAGGCTTAGACAACAAGCGAATACTAACATCTCTCTTTATGTCTTCGGGTAATATACAGGGCTGTTGCATAACTCATATGTAATACTTTTTCTACATGGTAAAAGTTAACGTTAACTTACTATAGGTATACACATGTAGTTAGGAGAGATTCCAATGGCGCTGGCTCCGGGGAGCGCGAATCTTAGTCAGCTGGTAGCTCTCCGTCAGCTCGACTGCCTGTTGGTAGCTCTCTACCGTCATCGCCCTGTACTATCCATCTTGGTCGTCCTTGTCGTCCACACTTTGCTTTCACCTTCGGATCTCTTACCGCAATTCTTTTCTCGTCTCACTCATCATGAACCACTTCCCTGAAGCCTGGGGCCGAGTGGGTGGCACAAATCTCCTCTACCTTGCTCTCCTGCTAATGATGTTGATAGCCTAGAAACGATGTCTACGGTGCCTACGATCATTCATATTTGCAGACCTCGGGTCCAAAGGCCCACACCTCATCTCCTGCAGTGACTGGAACGTCAGTGGTGGGTGTCAAGTTCAATGGCGGTGTTGCTTTAGCTACCGATAATCTGGGTATGCATCTTCTGTTGAAGTGTTCGATTCCATCTCTGCAGCAGCATCTAATTTGATACGCTTTCTGGATATTCAGCTTCCTACGGATCCCTCGCCCGTTTCACAGATGTCAAGCGTCTACGTTCGTTTGGCGACAAAGCCATGGTTGGGTTTGGTGGTGACGTTTCCGACATGCAATACCTCGATCGTCTGCTCGAATCGATGGACATCAAAGAGAACTACTCAACCCATGGCAATATGCTCAACGCCAAGAACTTGCACACATACCTGGCCAAGGTGTTCTACAAGCGACGCTCCGAGTTCAACCCGCTGTGGAACCATGTCCTTGTCGCAGGCTTTGATGGAGAAGGGGAACCGTTCCTCAGTTCGGCGGATCTGTTGGGAACAACATTCTCTGCCCCTCACCTGGCTACGGGCTTTGGAGCTCATCTGGCTGTCCCGATTCTGCGTCGCAAGTTCCCGGAGGGTACACCTCTTGAGGAAGTTAGTCAGGAGGAGGCCGTGGCGGCCCTAAAGGAGTGCTTGAAGGTCTTGTTCTACCGTGATGCGCGAAGTCTCGACAAGTATTCGATAGCGGTGATCACCAAAGATGGCATTGATCTGAAAGAGGATGAGCAGATCCAGGGCCAGAGCTGGGCGTTTGCCGAGAGAATCAAGGGATACGGCGCCCAGACTGTCTAGATTTGATATTTACATGAATACACGGGATTTATTACTTGTGCAGTACCCAGTCAGCCAGAAGTTCTGTGATGACTTAAACCATACTGGTAGATATATCCGTATATTCAAATTACGCCCCCGGGGCCTTCCGAAACAGCGAGAAGCTTATAGCTTAGAGCTAGGCTTCTCAAACACCACGCGGTTGGTACAAGAACCCACACCCTCGAGGCAAACCTCGACTTGATCGCCATCTTTCAACCACAGAGCAGGCTTGCGGCCCATCCCGACACCTTGGGGTCTATCAAACAGTCAATCAATATAATCCAAATCATGATGTGGGGTTTACTTACGTTCCAGTGAAGATGAGATCTCCGGGCAGCAGCGTGGTGCCCTGGGATAAGAAGGCTATCGTCTTCGCCACACCAAAGATCATGTCTTTTGTTGAAGAGGATTGAACTGTCTGCCCATTCAACTTGGTGGAGATATGCAGAGCATTGGGATCCGCAATGGCACTGGAAGAAACAATTCCAGGGCCAAAGGGCGCCCATCCATCAAAGCCCTTGCCCAATCCCCACTGCCCTCCACCCCGTTTGATCTGCCAATCTCGGTGAGAAACATCATTGCCAACAGCATAACCCAGAACGTAGTCCAGGGCTTTGCTTTCGGGGATATTGCTGGCCTCTTTCCCGATAATAACAACCAACTCACACTCGTAATCCAGACCCTCACCTTCCTGGGCAATCCGGGGAATGGGGATATCATCCCCCGGTGCAGAAATTGAAGTAAGAGGCTTGAAGAATAGAACTGGATACTTGGGGATAGGCAGATTTGACTCTTTGGCATGCTGCTCGTAGTTGAGTCCCAGGCAGCGAACTGTTCCAATATCCTTACGAGCCAACGGCGCAAGAAGCAATTTGATCTCTGCAACCTGGTCGGTGACCCGGTACTGACCGAATATATCACCCTGGATGACTCTTGCCTTGGTGGCTTTGGCAATGTCGCTCACTCCAGATGGAAGAAGAGCATCGCCGTAGTAGATCTGGCCATCCTTGGCCAGGAAGCGAACAAGACGCTAAAGCCAATTAGCACAGCTCGTTAAGATATAATCTAGACTCACTGTAAAGGTAGACATTGTGGTTGGAAAGAGAGTGAGAGAGGGGGGAATGTAATTGATGTAATATCTCGGGGGTCGGGAAGGTGATCGCCGGAAAACGGACCTCCCTCCCCATCCTCGCAAATGGCTCGACTCTCCGGTCTTCAAAGAGATGTCTTGTCTCTATACCGAAAATGTCTGCGTGAGATTCGAAAGAAGCCTACGGTAAGTATATTTCAACCCGCACTCCGTATCTCATCTGACCGTTCCTCAGGAATCACGGCCCAACTTCAAAGCCCATGCCCGGTAAGCTTCACTTTTCCGGCGGCATTCTCCCATCTAACGCGGGTTATAGGGCAGAGTTCCAAAAGCATCTCTCGGTGAATAAAAAGGACTTTAGCGCTGTGGAATATCTCCTACGCAAAGGCCATCGACAGCTCGAGATGTATGCCTCCCCGGGAATCCGCAACATCCGATAAGACCTAAACTTGACTACTCCGTATTCCGTATGTTTCTCGTGATTCCGGTGATTCTCGTGTGTTCCTGTCCGTTTCTCATCTTAGTTGACTCATTGAGCAGAGGTCTGGCCGAATACACCCAAGATGCCATGTCGAGGCGATATACACGCTTTGACGGGTATGTCTAGTACCTTTCGGTGGAGGTTTCTCAGAGCTTTTGTAACATAGTTATGAAATAGGAATGCCGTGTTACATCTAACATATCAATTAGTGCCCTAGATGCCCAAGCTATCACTGGTATCCTTATACACAGCCTGAGCTCTGAAGCCTTTACCCAAGCCCATGCATTAAAACTTTTACAAATTACAAATCCCAGTAAGAACCTTATATAAAATGCATTTGTCAGTGGTTGATTCTTGATTTTGCTGGCGGGTTGTAGAGCGCGCCACGAGGTTCTGGATGATTCCGGAACTATAAGTTACCATTTAACGTTAACGAACATGGGCACCTGTATAAAACGCAAGATAACCTGCCAGTTTTGATTCTATTCATCCAGAAAATCTCCAAGTTAAATCAAACCAAACCAACTCCAATCTCCAAATGGCTTTCTTTTCACATACCGGCTTCTCGCCACTCCTGCAACTCCTCGATGACTATGAGGGTCGCCGGAAACCTCAGCCACCCACCTTCGCACCAGCATTTGACGTGCGGGAATTAGATGACAGCTACCACCTAGACGGCGAACTCCCTGGTGTGGACCAAAGCAACATCGAGATCGAATTCACCGATGCACACACGCTTGTCATCAAAGGCCACACCGAGCGCAACTACAACAACAACAACGAAGACATGGCTCCAAGCCGCAGCCCATCTCCGGGCTGGCACCAGCCTACAGTCGAGGATGAGGATGCAGAGTCGATTGCTACTACGGCTGACACCGTTTCATCTCATGGGAAAGCCCAGCCTTCCCCGGCCCATTTCTGGGCTTCGGAACGTTCTACCGGTGATTTCCAGCGCACATTTAGCTTTACTGCTCGTGTTGATCAGGACTCTGTTCGGGCGAGCTTGAAGAACGGGATTTTGTCAGTTGTTGTGCCTAAACAGACTACTCCCACGACTAAGAAGATTCGTATCCTGTGATACGAAGATCTGGGAAATAATGTTAGGCAGGATTGCATTGGGTTTTGGGGGCGGCGTTTGCACTGCATGTTTTATAATCATTTGGTATTAATTTGAGATATGTTTGATGTTTATTTGACCACCGCACTATGGCACTTGTTATTGTAAGAGCTCAAGCTACATCGACGCTGGATATGCATATTGAAGTATACCCCCCTTGCTTGATTCAAGCTATCTACACAAGGGCATTACCCCGGCCACGCGGTCAATTCAACGAGTGAGATTGTATTTCGGAGACTACTATGCATCTCGGGGACGCATTAAGCTACGTCTTAATTCGACATGTTAAGCAGCCAAGAAAATGTTAGCATTGCGAGATAAATCAAGCGCATAAAGACCGACAATGCCATGGAACCCTTGTGCAACGCCAAGTATGATTTTCGCTCCAGTTCCAATTCCAAAAGGGTATACCTAAGACAACTATGCCCCCTGCCCTAAACTCCAAAACATATCAACTCCAGAACTTTTGTAAATCCAAAATATAAACCAAAACCAAACAATAAAACAAAGTAAATCAATAAAGCGCAAAAGGAGAGGCAGTCATATGAACATCGGGCTGAGGACGCGATTTCGTCAACCGACAGGGACGGTAGTCGTTGCTCCGGCTTCGAGGCCGGCCTCGGATTGGCTCAGAAGCAGCTAATTCGACATCGATGTTATTTTGCAATTCGCCCGGGGACAGGATCGTAGGCAGCGGGGGAGCTTCAACGCCGGGCCTCAGGCTCCAGATACGACTGCCCTTCTGACTTCTGGATCGAGAACGCCGACTAACAAAGGTATCGTTCTTTTCGTGGATGTGATAAGCAGAGGCTGACCTGCGGAGTCGTTCCTTATTTCCAGCGATCGTCTTCTGGTAACTTAGGGTTTTCTCCACGTTAGCTGAGGAGCCTGTAGAAGATATGGCATCAAGCATGCCCACGGACAATCGATCACCATATAAAGGGCCCCGAGTGAAGCCTTGTTGGTGATGGGGCATAGACAGACACGGAGACTCCACAGCGGGCTTTGCTTCGAGTCTGGTCCCATAGGACGAAGAATATTCCGTGTAGCGGGGTGCACATAACGTCGACCGACGCGATCGCGTTTGAACGACCGGAGTCGGGTTGCTTGAGTCATACCATCGATGAGAGGCTGGGAGCAGCCGTGAGTAATTCTCGGGCCTTTCCTCGAGACTCAAGTGACGCTGCATGCTATCTGCTGGTCGACTCGAAGCCGGGAGATTGGAGATCCACACATTTTTTGAGCTGTCCGCACCACATGAGCCAGACGTCTGTGAATCAATGGATCCCCGAGTCCGGCTTCGCTGCATAGAGTGGACGGATGTGGCAGAGCTGTAGCCACTGTCTGATTTGTTGAGGGATCTGGACGTGCTTCGGGCAAGGCCATCCAAAGCACTTTTCTCCAAATGGATCCTCGTATCGTCACAGAGAGCGATTTCTTCATCATCTGGGTCTCCAGGGAACAAGGACTTGTTCCGTGAACGAACGGTGATAGTGGGAGACTTCTCGAATGAGAAAGGGCTGCCGGGGACATCGTCAGGTTTCTTCAAATCGGATAAGGCGGGAATCTCCAGCGTAGATCCTCTGAGAGGACCCACGACTTCAATATTTTCAAGTCCTAGTCCAGGCCTATCTGGCAAAGGAACGCGCTCGCTGGGGCATGGAGAGGCTGAACCATTGACCACCCTCAGAGATCCGAGCTTGAGAGCCCCGAGTTGAGTATATCGGGCATCAGTTGGACTCGTCGGCCGCGCTGGCGATGGGAGACGCATTCTCTGGGTTGAGGGCAAGGGCCAATGCAAGACGGCCGACTCGCTCGGATCGTCGATCGGCTCTCCAATCGGCGATGGAACGCGCCGGATTGCACCCGTTGTGCGTCTCGTAGCAACACCAGGTCGGGTCAGGAGTGATCGTCGGCGCGTCAATGAGAATCGCTGGTTGCCAACCAGGAAATGGGTGTTGGAAGAAGTTGCATCTCTGTTTTCATAGACAGCACTATTTTGCCTCTGAAGAAGAGTCTGGATTGAATTGGCCCTTTTTGGCTGTTCGTATACCGGCGAGAATTGGGAAGATGCATCTGGCGATCCAGGCTGATACGAGGCTCTTCTAGAACCCGTTGTCAAAAGGCCTGGGCTGTCTTGATGCTTCTCGGAAGCCTGATCATCTGTGGAGGCGGCATATTCATCCGTTGGGCTCTCTTCAGATGGCTCTGCCTCAAACAAGGTAGGAGGAATCTCGGCTTTCTTTGGATAAGAGATCCGTTTTTCCACAGGTGTATTGGAGATATTATATCCTACCCAAGGATTTTGCCACCCAATCAGCCCCGAGGCCTGCGATGAATTGGCCTCCGATCGGAGGTCTTGAGAAGTTTGAAAGGTGTTGAACTTCTTGGTTAGAGGCTTTGAAAGTCGGTTGGAGCGGCGCGTCTCATTTTGGGGGCCTGATTGCGTGTTGCCCATGATTCAGAAGCCAGTGGGTTCCACAATCCGCTCCAGGCTGTGAATGAATGATATACAATATCGAGGGGCTTTGGTGACAAGCACTGTCCCCCCGCACGAAGGGTGACCTGGCTCAGATATGCACAGATGCACTCTCCAGATTAGATCCCCAGACTGTTGACGTCAAGCCACGACGCAAATCAATCCGAGCTTCAAGCTCGTGCTCCCGCTGGGTTGGCAATTGAGTGATCGATTGGCGGTTGACGGGTATCCCGACAGGAGGCCGGAAATATGGGACAGACCCGTGTTTCAGATTGGGTGATATCCAGGAATCAGTTGGACAGGAGAGACGGAGGTCGTGGGATTGAGGTTACGCCAAGTCCAACGGGGTCCCAGGGTATTCACAAAAGCAAGATTTGAGGATGTTCACATACATTAAAGATTACAGCAAAACAGGAAAGTAAAAACAAGAAAATCAAATAGAACAGGGATGCCACTAGGGCCAGCTTGCGGGGGGAGGGAGGTGGGAGGAAACAAGCGATACATAAGAAAAGAAAGGCATCATGCAACTAAGAAAGACGAAAACGCCATAAAGTGATCCACAGTCTCTGCATGCAGAGCAAGGAACAAGGAAGAAAGAACAAAGAAAGCGAGAGAGGGAATGTACAATACTCCCGCAAGCGGGGAGAGGTACCCACTACACCTCATCCCTAGCATCACACCACCCAACAGTCAGGTACCAGGTACCCGCCACAATCAGCTTTGTTCCCACTTCCGGTCTTTTCTGCTTTCATCCTTCACACCGCATTCAGATGTGCTCTCACTTTCCTTTCCTAACGCAGTCCGAGTTTGAGGATGCATGTCAAGCTCTCTGCACTTCCGCCTCGATTCGACTCCTCACAAAGGTAACTCCCTTTCTAGTCTTTATCCTTTTTCATCGACATTACTGGATACTGGATACTGGATACTGGATCCTGGATCTGGATACTAGATACGAAAGAGAGTTCTCATACTGACTCCGCTGAATAGCCAGGGACTGGCCTCAGGATCACACAATGTATTAATGTACCGATACCGATGCAAGCCACAGATGATCCAGAGGAACAGGAAGACGACCCGGTCTGCAGATACCAGCCCCATTAAGGGATGTTTAGTCCTAACCCTTCACCGCAGGAAGCTCTTGTTCGCATCAGCCAGCCCAGTTTAGAGGTAGATTATGACATCCTGCTATCCCCCACATATCAGGTCCCCGTCTTGTACTTCGGCCTGAGGTGGCACAACCACGGTCCGCTTGGACTCGACGCCGTCTACCAATATGTGGTGCCAGAACAGTACAGGCAAGAATTGAAGAGTGTAGGTGTCATGGGTGGAATTAGTATGGGTGTAGGTGCAAGCTCCAACCTCGTGACAAGAGCTCACGTCTCCGCGCAGTACCATCCAGACTCTGGCGCCCCGGCATTTTTTGTCCACCCGTGCAACACGGCCGATGCCATGGCGCATATTGCAGACCCACAGAGCGTCACTCCTGGGTCATACCTACTCATCTGGCTCGGTCTGGTGGGTCATTGCGTGAACCTGCACGTCCCACGCGAGCTTTTCGCTTAAATGGTACCAGACCATCGTGCATGTGCTGAAAAGGAAATCGATTGCAGAGCGAGGAAACCTCAAAGGGAAAGGGGCCCCCCGCCATTGGCCAAAAAAAAATTGATGCCGAGGTATTTAGTCCTCGTCCGAGGAAGCTTCCATGGGCACATCGCTGTCTTCATCCATTGGGGCTTCCTCATCACTTTCCTCCTCACGCGCTCGCTTCACTCCCTGTCCCTCGCCATTGGCATCGGTCGGGGGTCGCTGAGGGAGCGCACCGGGTGGCCCACCGAAGATAGACTTCTGCAGGTCGGTCGAAACTGGGGCTGGCCCAGTAGTAACTCCGACAAAGGTGCCGCGAAGCTTAGCAATGACATGTGATGGGCCTTTGGCATAGACGATTTTCTAGACAACGAATTAGTGAGGGGCTTCGCGACGATAGCAGGACAAGTTAGCAGAACAAGCTACACACCATTTGTTTCCCGAAAAAGTCAAATCCCTGCAAAGACCGCAGTGCCTGTGTACTAGCCTGAATATCCTTGAAAACAACATGGGCCTGGCCTCGCATTTTCGGGGTCTTCAAGGCTACAACGTCAAGGACAGTGCCGTAGGTAGAGAAGAGGGTGTAGAGTGACGATCGGAGATCATGCTTGCGGAGCTTATCAGGCAGGTTAGTGCAGTAGAGACTGATAGATTGTTAGTACCTATAGCCAGGCGACACTCAATTATCTTGAACGGAAGCTCACGTTTGGTTTGGAGGACCAGTCGCGACGGCCTTGCCGTCAGGGCCTCCACGTGAAGGCAATGCTTTTGACGCCATTTTTGAATTTGATATGATGACAGAAGTGGCTCAAGTCTCACAAAAAGCGGCAGATAGGGTCTCTTGTGGGGAAGGAAGCTCAATTGCGTTCTGTGTCAAGGGAATGCCAGCTGAGGTTTTGAAAAGCAGCTTTTAGTCAGGTGACAATATTACCTAACCGGTCCCAGGCGTCATCAGCCTCCCCTACCCTCCCCTCCCCGTTCCCGCATCCCGCAAGTACACAATCCACGACTCGACGGTAGAGAGCTCCTCCTGTCGTACTTGTTGTGCAATATGGCCGCTCCACAGGCTTACCATCTTTTTCATGCACCAATTGCAGACCACTCGTTCTCTTCTGATAAGCAGACACTTGCTGTCGCCCGAGAGAACAATGTGGAGCTATATCAGTCGTCAGGCAACAAGTTCGCGTTGAGCGATGAACTAAAGGGCCACGAAAAGACCGTTACCAGTGTTGATATTGCTCCCAACAGTGGTCGAATCGTCACTTGCTCGCAAGGTCTGCTTTGATTACATGCTTCTCGACCGTACTTTTTACTAACGGATGATGGTCGCTCTATTAGACCGTAACGCCTACGTTTGGGAAAAGACCCCTGACGGCTGGAAACCCACCTTGGTACTTCTGCGGATCAACCGTGCTGCTACCTTCGTGCGCTGGTCTCCTTCGGAACAGAAGTTTGCCGTCGGGTCTGGCGCTCGAGTGATTGCAGTCTGTTACTTTGAGGAGGAGAATGATTGGTGGATTTCGAAGCACCTGAAGAAGCCTATTCGCAGTACTATTACCACCCTTGCATGGCACCCGAATTCCGTTCTGTTAGCAGCTGGATCTACCGACTCTCATGCGCGAGTCTTCTCGAGCTTCATCAAGGGCATTGATAGTCGCCCGGAACCCAGTGCCTGGGGAGAGCGCCTGCCCTTCAACACAATCTGTGGCGAATACCTAAACGACTCGGCCGGATGGATTCAAGGTGTGGCATTCTCCCCCAGCGGCAACGCCCTCGCCTTCACCGGACACGACAGCAGCGTGACCGTCGTATACCCGAGCGCACCAGAGCAACCTCCACGGGCAATGTTGAACGTTTCCACCCGATTGCTACCCTTGAACAGCCTCATCTGGAACGGCGAGACTGAAATCATTGCAGCTGGCCATGTAAGTCCTTCTATTTCAGTCCCGTGTTACTTTTACTGAACGTTGAATGTAGGACTGTGAGCCGTTCCGATTCCGCGGTGATGAGAACGGATGGCACCTTGCTGGCTCTCTGGAGAACAAGGCAGGTGATGCCGGGGGTGCCCGCGAGGAATCTGCTTTGAACATGTTCCGACAGATGGATCTCAAGGGCCAGACACAAGCGGACACCAAGCTTAAATCGACCCACCAGAACACCGTGAACACCGTCCGCGTTCATGAGGAGGTCAACGGCGCTGTCAAATCTTTTAGTAGTAAGCAGATCCTCCGTGTTGTTTCAATCCAAATACTAATAATGTCATAGCAAGCGGTGTCGACGGTCGTGTCGTGGTCTGGTCTGCATGATTTGGACAATCCACTCTCTTATGCCAGTGTTCCAACAATAGCATGCATATAGTACGGAATTCCTAGTAGAACATCGAGCACATGGCATTGAATCCTTACATAATGTAAACCAAAAGATGCGATGACATAATGAGGTTACCCCAGATTCCAGTGTTCTCCACATCACACGACTTCTGTTCCTGTCTTCAACACCTCAACCATGCTTTACCATGGCGAACAGTATCTTCTTTCTTCTAGTTCTACATTTTCTGAGGCTTGTCGCAGCTCAGAACGAGACTAAACATGTCTCCGGCGATCTTTTCAACTCCCTCGAGGAGCTATCTCGCCTAGTGGACATCTCCTATTGTGTTGGAACTTCTGGAGTACAGCAGCCATTTCAGTGCTTGAGCCGCTGTGTCGAGTTTCCCGACTTAGAGCTGGTGGCTGTGAGTCTTGACAAGTGTCAAGGAGCCCGCAAGCAAGGAAATCAAGATTGACATATACCCTTGATAGACCTGGAATACCGGCGTTCTCCTGTCTGACTCGTGCGGATATGTTGCAATCTCACACCCCCCTTCACCGAAACGTATCGTCATCGCATTCCGAGGAACCTACTCAATAACAAATACGATCATCGATCTCTCCGCATACCCCCAAGCCTACGTTCCATACACCGGTGATGATAACAAAATAGCTGACACCCAATCACTCAGACCGTCCGGATCACGTTGCGAGAACTGCACGGTTCATGCCGGATTCATGGCTTCATGGCTCGACACCCGGTCGATAATTCTGCCTCACATCTCAGAAGCGATGCAAAAATACCCTGACTATGAAGTGACATTAGTAGGCCATTCGCTCGGAGGTGCCGTGGCCGCACTAGCAGGCCTCGAGATGCGCTTGAAGGGCTGGGACCCACAAGTAACGACATTTGGTGAGCCGATGCTTGGGAATGGGGACTTTGCACAGTTCTTCGACGAACAGTTTGACTTGCAACCCACCAGGTCAAATAAGAGCTTATCTCAGGATAAGAATCGCTTTCGTCGGATCACTCATGTCGATGACCCAGTTCCACTTCTCCCGTTACAGGAGTGGGGATATGAGCCCCATGCGGGCGAGATCTTCATTTCGAAGTCCTATCTTCCCCCGTCTCTAGGAGATGTACACCCGTGTGTGGGTCACTACGATCCCAGGTGTATTGCTGGGTCAGAAGCCCCTGCTCTTCTGCGGGGAATGTACCATGATATCAACATCCCAGTCGACCTATCCACCTCCAGCATGAATCATTGTCCAATGCCTCTTGGAAATCATGCCTCTGAATCTGGTGAGCAGGTTCTCCTTGGGCAGTGGAAAGGCCAAGATACTACTAGCTGTAAGATGGGTCATTCCGAAGACAGGCTGTCTCTCATCCGGTGGGATTGGTCGCTTATTCCGGCAAAGTATCGACTCTGGGAGCTGTTTTATGCCCATCGTGACTATTTCTGGAGGATTGGCCTATGTGTTCCTGGGGGTGACCCCAGTGGTTAGTGGGTAATATTTAATTAACTAACGCTCGAGCACGTTTCTGGCAATCCATATGTCGCCTCTTCTCAAACACTCACTTATACCCCAATTTGTATGTAGCGACCGTTATTAGAGGATAACAAGTTGTTTGGAATCTAACTCAGCTGTCCTCATTTCAGATTCGCCTAAGACAAAGTCTAATGTTAAAACAGCAATGCAAATTTGTATCGTTATCACATGAAACCAAAAAGGGCTAGAAAGGCATGAAACAAGAAAGCGGACATCCGATGCGCCAGAAGCCAATTTGACTATGAGGCGAAAAGGGGAACAGAATGCTGTGCAGGAAGGACAAAGGATATTCATATCTCAACATGGTCATCACCGACCCTGCTCCAGACTTGGCACGATAACAGGACCGAATTTGACCACATTCCCATGGGCACCTTCGCCCTGGACCATGAAATCAGCCGCCAGACTCAGCTTGCTCTTAGAGCCCTGTGATACGTTGCCATATGTAGGGTTGACAGATTCCGGATCATAGGCGACGATAGCGACATAATTACGGCGGGCCATGAGCTTGCGATACTCACGTGCCTGGCCGTTGACATCTGTCTGGAAGATTTCCATCATATCTTCCTTGGTATCGCTCGGTTGGGCCGAGGATCGATGGCCGTTGGCGGGAACATACAGTGGCTTGCTGTGACTGTGCAGGAGTTTAATGATATAGGATGGGGGTGGGGTGTTGACGACAGGAGAAGCAATAAGTTGATACATAGTCTTGTGGTCTGAAGGCTGGGAAGGGTCATGGACGAGACCGGCGCCACAGACGTTCACTGCACCAGAGAGGAAGGTCATACGCAGGGACTTTTGGTGTGCGATACCCTGAAGGGTGCGGATAAGGTAAGTCCGTTCGAGATCCTGGATGGTGTTAGTCAAAGAGAGCATATAACTCGAAAAAAACGACCGGGAACCAACCTTTGATTCGTGCGTCCACTGATCGCGCAACTCGTCCATGAGATCAAATTCTCCGAAGGGACTTAGAATGCCACCCATAAGTCCAGATTTACCCACAGCTCTCTTCACTGAGTCGAAGCCTGATCCTACGAAGTCCTTCGCGCCTACAACACCGGCCACGGAGCTGGTCACCTTGCCGAGGACATTGTATGCACCGGTCACGGCGCGCTTTCCTGTAGCGACGGTCTGGGCGATATGCTCTGCTGTCTCTAGTCGAGGATAGATAAGCGGTACAGAAACCATCCAGAGGCAATGCTGCACGCTAGAAGGTAGCATTGCAATCTTTGGGAAGAGACCCTGGTACGTGGGACCGGCCATAACCTGATGGGGGTTTCGTTCCGAGCGACAATCGGGCCCGACGACGACTACGCCAGGACCCAAATACTTGACAAAGTGCCAGCCAGTGCCAGTGATGGTGAAAAGGTCCATGTCGTTGTTGACATTGCGGAGGATATCGAGAGTTGTATGGTGCTGGAAGAGAAGATACATCTCGATACCAATGCGGCCAATGTTTTTGAACATGTTTGAGAACTGCATGTGCTCAGGATAAGAGCCAAAACCATCAAAGCTGTGACTACATTAGTGACATTCATTTCGCATGGTACGACCGACTTACATATCATGGTCGTCAATTTGGCAGATGTAGGGAATTTGCGCAAAAGACTCTCTCATGTAGGGCTGGTCGAAGTGGCTGGTATAGTAGTGGAAGTATGCATGGGAGACATCTTGTTGGTTGGCTGCAGTCCAAGGTGCGTTCTTTCTAGCTTCCTTGCCGCTGAGAGTGAGCCACTGCTTGAGAGATGGGATTTCCTTCCACATGCGATCTGCATAGATCTGACCACCCAGGCATAGTTGAGCATGGAATCCTCCAATCTCGCTGTGCTTTTGCATGATATCTTTCCACATAAAGCCAACACCACCCAGGCGAGCACGCTCATTGGCATTGACATTCAGCGAGAAGTCATTTCCAGAGGTGGCAATGAAGCGCCAATTAGTTTCATGTCGGCCAGCGACAAGGAACTCGTAGCGAGTGCAGCCCAGGTGCGAGGTGATTGCATAAGTCCATTTTGCGGGGCCCGCATCGTCCATCTGCACGTCAATCTCGTACTTGTAGAATGTCCACCGCTGATGTGCGGCAATGTTGATTGCCTTGAGCTGCCGTGGGTTTGGAGACAGATCCACACTCTGGTGCATGTGGATCGTAGGTGGCTGTGCGGCATCTGTTACGAGAAGAATGGATCCCAACCAGACCCCCCGCTCGAGATCCATATTGGTATAACGCAGGTATGGACCAAAGTAGACACCGTTTGTAGGGGTGGTTTTATAGAGGTCCATGCCGCTACTGGGAGGGGGGCCTGAGAATCCGGGCATAGGAGACTGCAAACTCTCAAAACCAGGAGTCAAAGGTACACCGGGGGATGCAAGAGGTTTCCCAAAAGCTGAAAGACCTGGAGAAGCCAGCGGATGGGCGCTGTAAACACTCCCAACCGGAGACAAGGGTGTCTCATTAAGGTTCAGTGGTGTAGGTCCCTTCGGGAACTCCCATTGAGTTGACTGCGAAGGCAAGTGGATATAATAATATTGCCCAGAGCTCGGGTCCATGTGGGCGATCCATCCTTCAGGAAGAGGCGGCGGAGATGCTGGGGTTGGACCGGCGGGGCCAGGAGAAGTTACTTGGGCTGTCTGTTGATGGAAGCCGGACATATCACTCGTAACAGAGGCTTGCGGGGGCTGTCCCATCTGCTGCTGCCTTGGATCATTTGCAAATGCGGGATGATCCTGTGTCGAGGCTGTCGGCGCAGGTGAAGGCGCATTGGCAAGAGCCGGATGCTGATTCGCCAAAGCTGGGTGCACCAATGCAGCTCCAGCGGCGGCTGCAGTCCCGCTCTGCTTTTCATTAGGGTACCCATTCGAACCAGCGGGACCAGAGACACTTGAGTAGGCAGGAGGGGGCGAAGAACTGAGGCGCATCCGGTCCATATCATGCTCCAGGGCATTGGAACGTCTCTCTGGCGGCTCTTGCTGCTGCGGCAACACGGACGCCGGGTGCGACTGGGATGGCGAGCCACTGTACTGACTTGGGTGAGATTGAGGAGAAGGGCTGCTGTATTGACCGGGATGAGACAGAGGGGATGGACTGCTGTACTGTCCCGGATGTGACTGGGGAGGAGGGCTGCTATACTGGCCGGGATGAGCGGCAGCTGGATGACTGTCCTCGCTCACGACCTCTGCACCTTGATAAACAGTAGGAGGCCCATGGGGTTGGGATCCCGGCTGCTCAGTTGGAGTCCATGGACGAGGCTGTGGAGGTTGCTGGAAAGTCGGCTGTTGTCCAAAGTACTGCTCAGCTCGTCTTTGTGCTGCAGCATTGTGCGTTTGAATACCCGCCAGTGTTCCTGTACCTGCGATGCCAGCAGCCGCATAGCGAGCCTCGATATCAGACCCAGGTTGCTGGCCAGGCCCAACGACGGGGGTCTCTGGTGGCGGTGGAGAACCCCGCTGGGCGCGGGTTGTCGAGGTCGAGGCAGTAGAACTGATACGGTTGATCGAGCCTTGCGGGGGCTGCAGGCTGGATGGGGGTCTAGCCACCGAGCTTTGCCGGGAAGGCGGCGGGTAGTATTGTTGACGGTAGTCATATTGATTCGCATTTATAGAAGCCTCTGCCGGGGGACCAGGCGCAGGACCAGCAGGCGGCCGGGGGTAGGGCCTAGCTGCTAGGGCCTCACGGTCTGGCGCATCCGGGCCAGGGGATTCGGGCAGCGGCTTAGGGGCAGCACCACGCCGCTCGGCCAGAGTCGCAACCCGAGGCTCACGACCGTCCCGCGGACGCAGAGCTGAGGGATATTCGTTAGGGCTCACTGAACCAGAACCAGCTGGCGGAGACCCGTATCTCACATTGTCGGGATATCTTTCATTTGAACTCGCGGTGCGTATCTGGGGCCGTGGTCGATCATCAGGGTAAGGCAGCGGGGCATTTGGTGGGGGGCTGGATCCCGCTGCCGATGCTGGAGATGACGAGTCTCGTTTGGTGATGCGCAGAGGGCCGATGACAGGCGACTCTTGCCTGCCAGGGGAGTCGTTGAGGAAAAGCTCCTCGGGGTGAAGGGCGCGGCTGCCGCCAGAATTCATGGCGGATAGGTAGAAGCTGCAGAAGACAGAATTGCAGGATATGTCAATTACGGAGATAAGCGCGAAGATCACAGGCGCTGATGAGGCGTAAATGCGGGGTCAGAGGATCGGAGATTACACAGTCAAATCCTTCATCTTGTGGAAAAAGAAAAGACAAGAAAAGAGAAGAAAAGAGAAGAGATTCAGAGGAAATCTCAGGGTTTCTGTAGGCGCCAAGTTTGGGCGAGACGCTGACCCCGCAGGTGATGAGAAGATTGTCACAGGTTGCTGCCTTGGGGCCTGGTATCTTGGCCCTATGAAGTATGAGTATCTCCACTACCTCTCTAACATGTACAACGCCCATTTGTAGGTTCCTGGGAAAATCTGGATCAAAATAGCTGAATTCTAACCCTTCTGGAGCGATTTGGCTATTTTCGAGCGGGTTCAAAATTCAATACTAAAGTACTCGTAACACACGTAGTCTTTCTATATAGTATTAACTACTATTAAGAATGACAATATCACGACGTAAAGATGGATAGCCAAAACTACAGTGACATGTTTACCTGTGTAGCATTGTATAGTTTACTGGGTCGGGGTCGGCCCGAGATCTTTGACCATGGATTCTTCGTTTCTATACATACACTTAATCGTCAATCATGCTAAACATATAACAAAATACAATGCCCACCCATATGCGCCAATGCCCTTGAACTCCGTCAAAATCCGAAATTCACCATCTGAAGCCCTTCTTGGGTCATTAAGTCGGACCAATCCACATCAAATGTGTGACCTACTCGCATGAGTCTCTCCAACTGTCGTTCATACACAATTTGAAGAATGGCTCGGGTGGTGGCCGCATTGCGTCCCATGCCATCCTCCTCATCCTCCATACTCGTCATCAATTCCATCGCCATCATCTTGAGACCACTGGCAGATGCTGTAGCGCCCGCCAGGAACAAGGGGAACACAAGGAAATGGCGGTCGGCTCGCCGAGTGTGTGTAGTCTTCTCAGCGAGGCGCAAGATCTCCGTCGCATGGTGATCAATGTCTCCATCTGGCGAGAATCCAGACTCAACCCGTTGCCCGGGCCACATGCTGCTATAGGAGAACAGTTGAGAAGCATGGTAGAGTGTTGCCGACTAAGGATATGTTAGTTCAATGCACAAGGATATTTTGGGAAAAGCGAAACTGACTTGCTGCAGTATTTCCCGAGACCGTCGCGGGAGATTGTCTTGTTGCTGATGTAAAAAGGCAATATCGGATGCCTCCCACAGTCTCCCAAAGGCCTGACGCAGGTCGGCAAGCTCTTGGGCTCTCTGGTCAAACTCGGCAAACGGTTGGCTTTGTTTATCGCGGCGAAGTTGAGTGGCCAAGAACCCAAGCTGGGCGGCCAATCGGAATGTGTCATGGTAAAGGCGCATGATAACTGGCAAGCTGTCGTGTTCATCAGAGTAGATCACACTGTAACCTTCTGGAGCTGTAGGGTAGAGGAGGGACTCCGACCCAGGGAGCATCTGATGGTCGATGACGGCACGTACAAAGTCTCCGGTCCCTGCTCCACTGAGCAGGGCGTAGAGATCAATGTGGCATACCCACCATAGGATGAAGGGGTAGGGCTCCTCGCCGTACTTGGAGCGACGGAGGAAGGCGATGTGAAGCAGGCGAGAGATGTGATGGGACCAGAGGTTTGAGCCGTGAGGCTCCGCAGCTGCGATCTTAGGTAATGTAATGTTAGTAGGCCCAAAGGATGTCACATGCAATAGGATCTTACCTCGTAAATGAGTAGCAGAAAGTGGGTTAGGAACAGCCCGTCTGAGACAAGGTCATCGTTGTTCCGTAGGCTGACTTGGAGTGATGGGAAAGCTTGCTGATAGTACTGTAGCGCATCGACATTGTGACCTGTGCCGCTGTGCGAGAGACTAAGGGCTGAAATAGCCATCATAGCGTGGGAGAGCTAACCAACATTAGCGCAATCGATCTAACCATTGGAGCTTGATATACTCACAGGAGGGAAATGGGTGGCTTCCTGCTCGAGAAAATCCACACTGAGTGTCATGAAATGACTATCAGATCCATAGGAGTCATCCAGTCTGTGGTCGTGGGGGAACAATTGCCTCCACACGACATGACGGAAATGGGAGAAGAGCGTCGAATCTTGACTTTGTTGGTCAAGGTTCAAGAATGTCATATTCTCCAGCTTGACCGATGGTGAAGGGAGGGACGGCATGATCGGGGATAGCGACAGAGCACAGAATGGATCTGAGATCTCAGAGGTTGGGGAAATTCTTGACAGTTTGCCATTGGGCGAGCGCCGGGTGACATCTTCAAAAGTCTTCAAGATCACCACGTTGGGATCGTCGCCTCGCACACTGCATTCACTCTTGGCTGCACTGGTAGGGCTATTGGCCACCGAGCTCCTACAGTCGCTCGAAGCCTTGGATCTAGGTTTCTCATTTGGGTCGTCTGCATACTCTGGCAGCGACGAGAAACTGTCTGGTGTCATCACCACATGGTACGTGCCTGGACTAAAGGCCTCTGCTTTCTTTTCGCGATCTTCATCCGACGTGAGCAGGGAAAAGGGAGGCAGTGAATCTCCCAGAGAAAAATAATCGGTCCTCTCATCCACAGAACTTGGCGAAGTGACTACTACGTGGTTAGTATAGGCCCCCAGGATGAACGAAGACTGCTTACGATCCCAAACAACATGGCCATCCGTCTTCACATCGGCCATTCGACCCATGATACGAGGGGTATCATCGCGAAACGCCAATCGTGGGCGGTAATCGCACGTATGGCCCAGACGAGTACATTGCTAAGAGACTGTGAGTAGTTGTGGATTGCAAGGAGCCCGAGGAATGCATACATTACATTGCGGGTGTCCTTCATCACATTTGACTAGAAGAATGTCAGCGGAATCCCCAATGGGACGAGAAATGAGCCACTCACCCTTTCGGCTCTGCACACAACCAAAAAAAACCAAAATTAACAAACTGCCTCTTATTTTGCGAAACCGAATCACTTACTCGACATGTCCTAGAATCAATTAGCTAGGGGGTCATTAATACGGAGTCAATTGGCTTACCAGCAACCCGTCCGAGACCGCGGAGGCAGGCGGATACGTGGTGGCGCGATCAGACCCTTGTCCGCCTTACTAAAGGCATCTGCAAACAAATCTTCCTTGGGGGCGATGATAGGAAGTCTCAGGGGTGGCTTTCCAGAGACTTTGCTCCGACGGTTTTGCATCACCAGACTGGTGACCGTCATAAGGCAGACCGGGTGCCTTTTTGGGGGGGGGGGAAATACTATCAGGGATGAGTGGTGTACAGACGGGTGAGATTGCAACGCTTACGGGTGGCGATAAAAATATGGGGATCTGGGGAAGAGAAAGAGAGAGAGAACCAGGAATTAATGAAAAAGAATGTAAGGAGGCAAAAAGAATGATATAGATGAATCAGAGTGGGGAAAGAGTGAGCTAAAAAAAAAAAAAAAAACTGCGGAGAGGAGTTTATGTATGTTCACATCACGAGCAGAAAAATGTAAAAGCTGCATAGAAAGTGCATGGTTCGAGGGATGGCGCAGCCTTCTTTTCCTGGCTTGACGGGTGGCGGGGAATCTAAAGAATCTCGGATGCGAAATGGAGAGAAAGAGAAACAGGTCAGATCCAAAAGGGGAGTGAAAAGAGTGAGAGGGAGAATGAGAGAGGGGATGGCATGCAGGTGCCAACCATGTGGAAAAGATCTATAATTACAATTACGAGGACGCTAAGGACAATCCCCTCACCAGTCTGGGCTGGCTGAAGCCACGTAGGAGAAAAAAAAAAGTTGAATTGGAGAAGGTCTGTATCGGAGCCGAAGAAAGGGAAGGGAAATGTTTCTGGGGAAGAAAAGTGGAAGAAAAACAATGTCCAACGGTCTCGATCGGCCCGGCCCCGTCTGGATCGACAGGAATCGAGGGAATCGAAGGGATCACACCCGCATTCTCTTATACGGACATGGCCGAGTATTAAGCGAGTGGCGTAGACACTATTCGCTTTAGGCTCGCGGATTCTGCACTGGATTCTGCACTCCTGACTGGACAGAGGAAAAAACAGGGAAAAAGCAAATGAGACCTGTAATCCCTAGTGCGAACCTTTTCCATCTAGTTCCCCAGAGCTGATTGGGTCGATTGAATCGAACCGTTCGTGAGAGCGCAATCTGCCCCTTCAATGATTCATGGATGGTCACTCCGTCGATCAGCCACGTGGTTAGCCTAGGAGTGCCAGGGCCTCATCCAGCACACGTTGTACTCCTCCAGATCGTTCGCTGGACCTCCACCCCCGAAGCTCGGCCGGAAGCGTGTCAGGCACACCTTGGGTAGGCAGTTTCAGGTACGCCAGAATGGCCTCTGCACGACCCTTGCGGATGGACTCGACAGACCCATCCAGCTCCCCCGTGAGGAGATTAGCAAGAGCAGTCAAGGATATCTCACCGGATGACTCCGAGATCCACGGATCCACTCGCGTAAAAAACGCCCGGAGCTCCTCGTAGCCCGTGCTGATGACCTGTCGTCCACCGTGTTGGAAGACCTGGTCCAGCAGACCGGTCATCTGTTCCACGTACTCTCCCAACACTGTGGTTAGGCTTAGCATGGCATGACGCTAGGGGGGTTCAGGGGACTGACCTTGACCCGAACCGGCGGTGGGGTTGAAACATTGCAGCAGGCATTGGACACACGCCGCAAGGGTGTCATCCTGGGTCCCATTCTTCGAGTCGATCTCCATATGGTCCTCATCCACCATTTCTTCAATTACGGGCGGTATGATCTTGAGTGCGTCGGCCATGAAATTGAGATCCTTGCGTGCTTGTGCGATCTCGCCCATTGCTCGTACGCCATGCGGCCGGTAGATAACGTTAGCGCGCTTCGCTTCGCGCACCGTAATCGTCTGACACTCCGTTAGCATTCCAAATCTTTTTTTTCCTATGCCGTAGTGGCGATATTGGCCCACTTACCTTTATCAGATTACTCAACTCCTTCGGTTGCCAGAATGTCTGAGCTTGACTGCTGAATTTGACTAGCGCCTTGAGCACCGCCTCTTTGCCTTCCCATGTCTTCCCCGCTAGTGCTCTTTCTAACACCGGCCAAATCAATTGGGCCGTCGGGAGGTCGATTTCAGCGTCAAGTGACTGAACCGCTTGCGCAATCGCGCGTCCGGCTGTATGCTTGATGGCCCACCGGGGAGAGTCCAAATTGTCCGAAACAAGGCCGACGATTTCACGGATGTAGAGGGTCACCGCGCGAGAACCACCGACGTTGTCTTGCCACGTTTTTTCGAACTGTTCCTTCACGTGTTCATCGCCATCATGCTTGCAAACAAACACAAACGGTAAAGCTGTTGCTGCAAATGCCATAAACCGGTCATTGGACAGTTTGGATGCCGAGTACAAAATCTCGCCAGAGATTACTCGAGGGGTGGTATCCTCCGCATTCAAGTAAAGGTTTTTGGCAAAGTCAATGGTCTTGAGAACACAATCGTCGGAAGCGAGTCGCAGAAGATAGCCCATTGATGAACAGTAAGAAGCGCTCACGGTGTCGTTTCGGTCCACCACATACTTGGTCAGGAGTTGGATGAATCGGTCTGCGTACGGGCGGAACATCAGGGTCTTCATGCTCAGCAGTACCAGCACGCGACTGCAGCCGACCTTGGATGGCAGGCCCACAGCCGACCGAAGCACATCTTCGAGTCGTTGCGCCAGTTCGTCCAGGTTGGATTCGTCCAAATTGTCAATCAAATACCGCTCAATCACTTCCATCATGGGAGATGTACGGATGCTGGACAAGCGCATTTTGTCAATCTCTTGACCAGTAAGACCGTATTTGTCGGCGTTGAGATGGACGTAGTTCACGGCCTGCGGTTCCAGAGAGCTGAGAGCAGTCAAGAATTTCTCCAACATGTTGGGAACGTGTGGACGCAGTAGGGTGCCCGGGCTTTTCTTGGTCATTTGTATGAGAGCACCAATGGCATACCCTTGCACCTCCTCAACACTAGAATCTAGCCCCTTGTCACTCAGAAGAAATGGGATAGCACTTTTGAGTAGAGTAGCTGCTCGCTTCTCTGTGCCATTTGTCTCAAGAGTGCGGATGACAGAATTGGTAATGGTCTGACAGAGCTTCAAAGCGGTAGTCCGGACGGATTCCTTGATATCATCGAGTAGCTTGAAAGCTTTACTGTAAACCTCATCTAGATATTGAGCGAACTTCTCTGGGCGACGACCTTGGATCAAATCTGCAATGGCAGCACAGCTGGCTTGTCGAACACGCCATTCTCGGCCAGCGAGTACGCTCTTGAGAAGATCCTGAATAATCTCATCAAAGTGGGTATCAATCACAACCGTGGGATCCTTGACCAGTGCCTGCCAGATGGTGTTCATAGATCGCTGCACATTCGGGTTAGGATCAAAGCGGTAACGGAACAGCTTGGGATAGATCTTGGGGTTTTTAGCCAGGTAGCCATCGACGCTGGAGTCAGAAAAGATGGTGCTGATGCCAAAGCGGCCAAATGCTGCACGATTCGTCCAAATGGCATTATTAGAGGCCAGTGACATGAATCGGTAGACCAGAGTCGGGTCACCGGCCTCAGCAGCAAGGTTCATGATATCCTTATACGTGTTGACAGACGACCCTTCACCAGTGGGGAGGGCGCCCGGCTCAAATAGCTGGGTGTCGGCCGTCACGTTGCCACCCCCGAGGTTGGGGCCGGTAGAAGTGAACGACTCTACCAAATCTCGCACCAGGTCATCCTTGAGCGATTGGTCGCCAATCTCATAGACAAGACTTAGTCCGTGTGCGCCGGTCTCCTGCACCACTTCATCACGATTTCCAAGGAGACTGCTGAAGGTAGCTTGGCACTTGCGCAGGCGGTCCTGCATCTCTTGCATGTGGCCGCAGTTCTTGACTAGTGACAACAGCCAGATTGCAGACGCCTTCCGGAGAGATGGCTTAGGCGCAATGCAACCAGCAATAACCTTATCACAAACGTCTGCAAACACCGAACGAGGGACATCCGAGCTAGGGAATTCTGCGTCAAGATCAAAGTCTTGGATCAGAGCCCGAGAATCCCATCCGACGGCGACGTTGCACAGGGCCTCGCCAACAGTGAACTGGACTTCGGGACTGCGAATCTCATGTAGACTGTACAGCGAGCCCAGAAAATCCTTGAACAGGGTGCCATCAGACCCAGATCGGGAGAATGTCAAGGTGAGGAGGCCCAATGAGCTGATAGGAATCTGATTCTCAGTCTTTGCATCTCGCAAGAGCTTCTCCTGGACCTTTTTCCAACCATCCTCGGCAAGGATTTCGAGAGTGAGTACTCCGGAGAGACTTAACTGGCCGATGGCCACCTGCGCGGTCCGCTGAAGGAGAGTATCACGCGAAACATCCAGAATATCAAATACAGTTTCAATGAACTGCTTGACTTGTGTTTCTGGGGTTCTCTTTGTCAAATTGCGGTACGCCAGTCGACTTAGCAGATATGCAAATGCTAAAATGGCGCCGCGGACTCGCATGACCTCTTCACCGACAGCAGTATTCCATGATTGAATAGTACCAGTTAGTCCAGTGATGAAACTTTGCAGTTCATTCTCTGGGAATTTAGGGTGCGAAACCAGGATTCCAAATGCGCGCGCAGTAATATCCTGATTCTCCTGGTTGTTACTGGAAATGGGCTCCATCAATGAGCTTGCACGCGAAAGCAACTGCTCAACAACATCGTTGGGTACCAGCGAGCAAATTTCAACAAAATGAACGCCGCATTGCCGCAGACCTTGTCTCCCGCTAATCGCAAGACCTTCTAGAGTCCCGGACAATAGTGTCAAAACAGACTCCTTTGCGGCCTTTCGTGTGTACTGTCTCACGGCTGCGCGTGCCTCTACGCTGGAAGATAAAAGCACTTCCAACTTGTAGTCCCAGTCTTGCTCTAGCTCTGCAGGAATCTTCGCCGCTGAGAAAGCCTCCCAAAGCAATGTATTGCGGAGGAACGAAATGGCAGGTACAAATGAATTTTTGTAGGGACCAGACAAGAGCTTCGATGCGGACAGCGCTTGGATATTTGACTGGTCTTCTTGCTCTTTTGACCCCAGCAGGAAGCGAGTAGCCTCGCTGAACTTAGGGAAATCAAACCAGGATTCATCGTGTTGCGTTGCAAAACCGGACCATTTCTGATCCTTTGTGGGGTTAAGCAATCGGTACCAATACGGATGGAGTCCTTTCTTGCCTTCCTCAACGATCTCTTGTTGTCGTTCCGGGCCTCTTGCAATGGCCATCAAATCGATCCAACGGGCGATCACATCACCAAAGGGCAAGAATCGGTTCGCGAACCGCACTGCCGCATACTGAACACCTCGAACGACACGATAACCAGTTTCGGGGTCAATATCGCCAGGTTGCATGCTCATTTGACGAACCAAAAATGGCCGCAGCTGGTCTTGAAAGGTCTTATCATGACTGTCTAATGAGGAGTTGAGAATACTGCCTAGCGCCTGGTCAATGCTGACGAAGATCTGAGGACTGGAATCATCTGCGCTCAAGGACGCAAAGAGCCATCGCACTAGATCGAACTCAAAGTTCTCCACGGCATCGGATTGCATAAGGAAATCGACCTTGGGGACCATGATACCAATACTCTCGTAGGCTAGGCCTCGCAGGCTGAGATCTGTTGTGGGTAATTTGTTTCCACTAACCGCGGGACTGGGCCATCCTTGAGATTGAATAAAATCCCTCAACCCTGCAATAAGCTTGGGTGCGATTTCTTTGAGATCAGACGGGGAGCCCATACGAACAACCCACGTGGTGAAAGTGAAGATTTGGGTTCTGAGTTTGGATGCTTGCAAGCCTTGGGAGGACCTTGCAGAATCGGAAAGAAGCCCATCTTCAATAAGTCTCAAAATCCTCTGCAGGTCAGCTGTGGCTTTGATGGACTTTCCTAGGAAAGCTAGGAGCTTAACTTGGAGCGCGGGTCGGGCAGGGGGAGCTCCAGTGGTGCCGAAATAGAGACCATACAGTTCCTCAACGACTGCGGGATTCTCGAGATCAGCGGCAAATCGCTTGAGGGTTTCATCGCCTAGGTCAGCAAGGCGAGAGTTGCCATCGGAGGAAGCGATAAGTGATGGCAAAAATCTTTGGGCGTCATTGAAAGCGCCACTGCCGATGAATCGGAGAGCAGTGACCTTGGTTTCGGTGAGGTTCAAGCCGCCGTCTGCTGACGGATTCCATGTTTCGTTTGCGGGCACACCTTTGTTTAAAAATGTGTATTCTTCCGGAGAAAGACCGGGACACGTTGTTGACTCCTTGGGTCCAGGGGTAAGAAGGAGCAATTTGGCCAGCCAAAAAGACAGGAACTGGGCATCGTCATCTGACAGACCGAGCCGCTTTTTCAAGTCCCGATCCTCTTCGCTACCTTTGGGTGGCAGCTTCAGAAGGGGTAGCAGGCGCAGTACCAGATTAAACACGATAGCACCCTGGGTGGGCGAAGTTCCGATTTGCGAGATACCCTGGAGCAAGGGCAATAGAATGTCGACTCTGGCCTCGGAACCAAGGCGGTCAATGCCTTGTTGGGCATATATGAGATCAAAATGTCTGACCAGTTGGGATTTTTGCTCCTTGAATTGTTTGAGCAGAGCTGCTACGGGCAGCTGGATAGAGGGGGCCTTCACTCGGGCGTTGACATGCTGGCAGACCGAGATGATTTTGTTGCGAACCGCCACGCTCTCCGACCCCAGTTTCAACAGTAATGGGGCCAGATAGGTTTGAAGTAATGACTGCAGCTTCTCGTCTGTGTCTGCCATGGCAATCCTGAATTCCACCTTGCCTATCAGGCTCAACTCGCGAGCCTCGGGGCTCTGTGAGTCCGCCATGGTGGGTGTACTTTGCAGGGTTGGAGAAATCCAGAAGAAGTATCAACCAAAATAGTTCAAAGGCAACAATTTAACAGAAATCACCTGGTTTTGTTCGATATAGGCAACAAACACTCACGTCATCGCCCTTCACGGTCGTATACGGGCAGTCCACGATATTAGTCAGCTCGCTTAGTCAAGTCGGGTCCTGAATACCTTCGTGGCTAATTTGTGATATGATAAATTGAAAACACAGGAGGAATTGACTGGGACGTGCTCTCGTTGATATTGCCCTTTGATCTTTACGCTAGTTTGGGGGGCAGTGAGGCTCTGGTAAATTACGATATATATACATATCTACCTATCCATCCTGTCTTGCTTTTTTTACGTAGATCATTCGACATATCTCCCCAATGACAAAAAGTAGCAAAAAACTGTTGATTCCACAGCATAGACATCATATTTTACAATCATTATACGTAGCTCGTTTCTTCATCCCTTCTGCGCTCAGAAGCCTCGCCCCTCAAGAACCGGCCTACTTCCCTCTCTGCCTCAATGGATCGATCATTGCTATCTTTATGGACCGTGCCACCAAAGAGACATTGCCAAAGGTCATCCTGCTTCACCAACTCTCCATCCGACGGCCCGCTTGTCATCAGGTTTGTGAGACTGGCCTCCTGCATTTCCATCGAGTTGGCCGAGTCAATGACTGTCTCAGTAAGATCTTCGATGAGAGGACCATTATCATTGGGAGCGCCCGCTGAGTAACCTGTTTTCTCGTGCTTCTCTTTCTCAATGATGTGAGCCAGTCGTCGAGTGACAGAAAGTTGATAGATGGATTCCTCCACAGTCCCAGAGACAAGGTACATCCACACCGTCGTTGGTCGGTGCTGGCCAATACGATGTACTCGAGCGATGGCCTGTAGTTCTATTGCCGTATTGATAAGCGGTTCACAGAGAAAGACGTGGGTTGCATTGATCAAAGTCAACCCAGATGATTGTGCTTTTCCATGCAACAAAAAGCACTCAATCTGTTCTTATAGTCAGCAAATATCCCACCAAAAGGAAGTGCGTGGGTCCATACCGCTGGATCCCTCTTGAAACTTTCAATACCATCCGGCCTGTCAATGCTACTACTAACAATCTTGAAGCGATAGAATGCCGCCTGTAGCACCGTCAGAAAGCTCTTGTACTGAGAAAAGACAATCGACTTTGCCCCGGGGTCATGTTCCCGCAACCACAGGATGTGACGAGCCAAGGTGTCAATCTTCGTTCCGAAAGAGTCATCCAGGTCGATATTCTTGATCTCTCTGAGAAGCCCGGAGCTGATATCACTATAGATTGCGTTTTGAGCATGCCGTTCATGGCCCACTTTGACAGACGATTCCTCTTCCTGAGCGACTAATTCCTGTGGCTTGTATGTGACCTGATGAAAATCCTTGAGCTTCAGAGTCTTCTTGCACATTGGGCAGCTCTTGTGGGAACGCCACCACATGCGAATACAATCACTACAATACTTGTGACCACAAACAGTCAGTACACCTACAAAGGTCAGTCCAGGCTCAACCGAAACCGTTAGCACACACAACACTTACCAACTTCGAAAGTTGATTGGCAGATAATGCAGATCCTCGAGGTATTCTCGGCGCTGGAATCATCCCTCAGGTGGATGAGGTATCTACCTTTAGACTTGAGCGAAGAGATTTTCCCTTCAATAATTTCCTCCTGCTTGAGTCTCGAATCAAAAAGGTCGGCATCCAGTGGTTTGCCCGCACTTTCCTCGTCGTACGGAGCCACTGTATCCGAAATCTGCTGCAGGTGGCGATAGTACTCGAGCCGATTGTTCATGGTATCACGGAACATTTCCACTTCTTTTTCTAGATTGGATGATACCTTGAGTTGCTCCGAGATCATTTGACCGGCATTTTTCAAAACCAAGTCGACCATCTCATGCTCAGCGCGGGCACGCGAGCTCCCAGAGCTAGCTTGCCAGTCCAACGACGTCAGAAGGCTGCGAAGTTCACTGACAATACGGCGAAGTGACCCAAGCTGAGGATCTGGCATGAGCTCACTGCGAGTGTCCATAATCTTGAGGAAGAGCTGTGGAGAGGGTCCTTCGCCTCGTTGGGCCTGGATAATGCCAGCTTTGACCTCGTGGGAAATGAGAACATTCTTTTGACCAGTGAGGGCATCGTAACGATCGGCGTACATTGAGCGCAAAGCCTCCATGTAGACATACATCTCATCTTGATGTTTTGTAGATCGCTCATACTCATTGCCCTCCAGCTCTGCATCTTCTTCCTGGTCGATGAGCGATTGGGAGACCAGTTTAATCATGACAGCGCGCCATTCATTATACTGCTCAGCATGTCTGTTGAGTGCTGCACATAGGTCTTCAAACTTTCTGAGCAGTTGATAAGACTCAAGACCCTCGCTATAGAGGTAAGGCTTCATCTTTGGAATGTTCACGAATTGCTTGTTTCGTGTCTTCTCCTTGATTGTTTTCATATGGCGCTCAACTTTTCGGGAAATATCTGTCAACATCTCCTTGCGAATCATTTTTGCCGCCTCGTAGCCATCTTCTTCGCGTTTTTCGAGTGATCTGAATTCTTCAGAATCTGGCTGGGTTAAATTTGGATCACTTTTGATCTGGTAGAATGCATTTGCTGTGAAGAACACTGCGATGTGCTGAACCTCAAGCGCATTTCGAAGCTTTAGCCTGTATTGACCAAGGCGGCTATTGTTGTCAGCATCTTCAGCCTCGTCCCCGTTCAAGTTATCCATTGCTGAGATGGTCCCATTTATACCATCTGTAGCACTCTCGATTTTCTGCTGCTGCTGTCGCAGTTGTTCTCTGCTGTTTTCGACCAGTTCGGTTGCATGATCCAATGCCTTTTGCCATAAAACGAGGGCCTCCATGCGGCGCTTTGCGTTTTCCAAAAGCTGGCCTCGTCGAAGTTGAGAAAGAAGAAGTGAGCGTTCTTCCGCACGAATAGCCGTCTCATTGGCCTCGATCATGACCTCCAGAACCTCGTCTACAGTCCGTAATGGTCCATTATTCGCACCCAATGCTCGACGAGTGCCTGACGAGACTTCAGGATGAAGACAGGTTTTGCGTAGTCTTGTTAACCACACACGCATTTTTTCGATGATGACCGGATCCTCAGGATCCCAATTCCCTCGAATGGGTGCCCCTGAGGCGTCAAGCCCGCAGTCCTCACACATTTGTTCAAATAACTGCCCGTAGTGCTGCTCTTCTATGGCCGTGAACGGGGTAGTTATGACAATGCGTTTTTGAGGGGGAAGACGAAGTTCGTCGCGCACTTGATCCTTGCTGTGTCGAAGGGCGATCGTGTTGATGATGGTGACCAAGACCGACCCAAATCGTGAAAACAACCTTTTCCATAACGGATTTGAGAAACAGAACGGCCCATAATGAAGAAAGAGAAGAAGACCGAACAGGTCATCTATGTCCCTGCGTAGCGGCGTGCCGGTCACAGCCCAAGCGATCTCCCGAGGAATCAACCGTGCTACTTTTGCTGCGTTACTGACTCCGCTTTCAATCATCTGGGCTTCATCTAAACATACACGCCACCATGAAATACGAACCAGGGGTGTCTTCCTGGGCTCGAATCGCTTTATGTGCCGGAGATTTCTTTCCGGTGCCATGCCAGCGTAGTGAATTTCTCGAGAGATAACGTGATAGGTGGTTAGGACAACGTCGAATTCGGCGAGCTCATCAACAATCATGTCATCTGTTTCCTCTTTCCCACGTTTGATGCCGGTGTAATGGTGAACCCGCAGGGCAGGGGCATGCTGCGCCAACTCCTGTTTCCATTGTTCAAGAATAGCCGGCGGTGTGATAATCAAAGTCGCACCAGATGGCTTCAGTCCATCCGGGTCAGCCTTCGGCTGCGGCCCTGAGAATCGGCGGTGAAGACTTATTAAAGCAATCATTTCAACTGTTTTGCCCAGTCCCATTTCCTCTGCAAGTATCCCGCCCTTTAAAATATCCGAAGCATCATACCATGCAGAGACGTCGGTAGTCAGAATCATGAAGAGGCGGCTGAAATAGTATATTCGTCCGTCGGCGTCTTTCCTTTCCCCGAAAGAGACCGGAAGGTCGCCTTTCCGGACCCGTTCCATCGGAACGACTGTGCCATCTGGCTGAACTTCCATACCCTCTCTCTGCAACAGCCACCGAAGTGCTCTTTTCTGAAATGGAAATAGGTCACAATCTATGTCAGGACATGCAAGGTTTGAGGCACCTTCTGTGGCTTGGGGAACGTGGACACTGTTGTAAAACTCTCGGGGAGACCACTTTTGCGGGAGACCCAGCATTCGTTCGCGACGTTGATCTCGCTCGTATGCAGTTGAAGGGTGATCAGGATGCTCCTGTAGCACGTATTTTGTAAAAACCTCCAAAGCCGGATCCTGTAGGTAGGAAAGGGCTGGGACCTCGAGTGAATCCTTCCATAGAACAACGGTTTCGAGGGTAAAAACATCCCTATCTGGCGACACAGAAATGGAAGACTGGTAGCAGGCGATCGGAGCATCGTTGGAGTATTTGTTTGCGTGGGCGAGTCCGCTGGCGTGTCGAAGCTGATCTAGCAAATCAAACAACCGCGAATCCTGGAATGAATGCGCGAATGAATGCTTTCCATCAAGATCATTTATTTTGAGTTCCATAATGTAAGCCTCACGACCAAGCGAGTCTGGTTGCGGCGCATCGTCTTCATCGTCATCGACTAGGCGAATATTGCGGACCTCCATGACGATAGGAACCCGAAGGGGCCATTGTTTCGGACCTTCTAATTGCTCCTGCTTGAGTATATTGTGAGATGGAGTTTTCTAACGAGAAGGTGGCCAGTCGTTAGCATCTCTGCAGTGGGTGGCACGTCAGTCATGAGAACTTACCATGCGCAATGTCAATCGTGCCAAGGGAATGTAGCCTAGAGGTATCCCTGTTGCAGATTCGCCGTTTTCTTTTACCAAGCATCTTGAGCGAGACTTGATGACCTTGCGCCGCTTGGTAGGATGGTCATCGGAGTTCGGTGCAACCGATTGTTCGAATATGCGATGTAGGGACCCAAAGCGGCTGTCTAGAATGGTGAGTGTTATCAGTACACATCGTCTGCTGTCAATTGACCAAGAGATGCAAATTTACCTGGCAGTGTGATTTCATCTGCAACTACACTCATTATGAACACCGCTTTGCACGCCTGTGCTGTCGCCACAAATGAGTTGCCCGTAATCGCAAAGGCGAAAGCTGGAGCCGATAACTTATCGCGGAAAGAATCACGTGCTGATAATAGACACTGATCACGTGAGACTGTGATGAGGGTGGCACGTGCATCAATCACAATCGCGATCGATAAGATACCGGATAAACAGGCCGGATAAATGCGAAGTATGGAAACCAGAAGTCAACTTCAAATGCTAAAACAGATCGATGTACAGTACTCCGTTAGTGCCAAATTAAACCAGAGCCATACCTATACATGGGTACCCTAAGTCCCATCATAGTAAATTCCCAGGACTTGAGTAGAGCGCTCATCATCTCGTGGGCATTTTCATCTTTCCTTCCAGCACCTCAATGTCGCTCATTGCAAATCTTTCTTGCCTCGGTATTATATGCCTTGGTCTTCTTTTCTTCTGCTTCGGTATCTTCGATATCTCCCATCGGTCGTAAAAAGAGCCTGCTTCCTACAGACTGCTTCTCCAAACCATTCTTCTGAAAGTTGCTTGCTTGACCAATCCACTACCACTGCATGATATCCATCTTATTCACCCTTCAACACCAAACCATCCTTCAACACCGGGTTTGCTGATCCATCAGGATTTTGGATGCCCCAACTCACAATGGGAACCGATTCAGGCGAAATGCCTAGCAGCCCCAAGGTCCGCATTGTGGACAACCTGAAAGAGTAAGTTGCAAACCTAGAAAGCGACCAGTTTGAATCTAATTATAACAGCTTCTGGAACTCAAGTAAATCGTCCGATTTTACTATTGTGACCCAGGATCAGAAGTTTTTCGTTCACAGGACAGTCATTTGCATGCAATCGGATTTCTTCAACCAGATGTGCAAGAACGATTGGGCAGTGAGTCTCCTTTGATGCTATATGATATGGTCGGCTCTGATTCAATTATTACAGGAGACACAGAAGAAGACCATTGAGCTCAAAGAAGACAACCCTCGTGCCGTTGAAGCAATGCTGAAGTTCTTTTACGGTCTGGACATTTTTGCTCCCAACGACATTCCTCCGATGATATTCTGGGTCTCAGTCTACCAAATTGCCGACAAGTTTCTTGCCTCGCAGTTGAAATCAGATGTGACTGAGCGGTTCGTGCCTCTTGTGCACTACAACTGGGAAGATGAATGTTTTCCAGATGTCATTGCAGAGGCTTACGACAGCACTCCGCCTGATGATCGTGGCCTTCGAGATACAATTCTGAAAGCCGCTTACGAGAATCTCCCAGCGTTACGGAAGTCCAAGGAATTCCAACGGGTACTTCGGGAAGTCCCCGGATTTGCTGCCGATCTGATCTTGGCGATGGATATCTATGACTGTGAGTTGGTGCCTACCCGATGCATGGCAGCGGCCTGCCAGGCCGAGTGGTTCTGCCCTCGTGGAAATTTGTACCCAAAATGCCCCAAGTGCGCCAAGCGATCGGTCCAGCATGGATATCTCGGTTGAACTGCTACGTTAGTCTTCACATTCGAACAGATCAGCTCTTTGAGGAGAATTCGATATGGCAATGAAGGAAAACAAGGAAACAGCAAAACAAGAAGCTTCGGCTTAGCAAGAATTGATTCAGTTGCCACAAAAATTCGCTTTTTAGAACCCGCTATACAGTGGCGTTACATCCGTAGTCACTTGATTAATACTCGATCAAATCATTCATTAATAATATTCAACGTGTCCGGGTAGTATTGGCATTTGAGTTACATGAAGAGCAGAATCTCACAGAATCTGTTGTTTACCCCCATCACACAGTTAATGGTCACTGCGTACGTCTCAGAAAGGGAGTACTTGATCATGATGACAAAAAGGGCATTCAAGGAAATCTCTCACGATCCCAACGTGAATCTGCCATTTTGACAGGCAATTCATGCAAACATAGGACTCGACGATACGCGGTTCCAAAGACAAGTTTGGAGGCACCCATTGGCGCGAAAGAAGCACAAGATCGCTGGCAAGCCCAGGAGTATTCGCAAGTAGACTTTCAAATTCCTGCTTCTCTCGTAGGTCCCTTCTGTGTATCTGACACATTGCCACAATTAAATCACGAAGACCCCGATCTTCCGTTGCTGTGGCGGTGTATGCTTCAGAAATTGCAATCAGGAAATTATTCGAGGCCCAAAGATCTTGCACGAGAGAAGCAAAAGTGAGTCTGGCTTGTACCTTGAGGTAGTCCAGTTGGTATTTTGCAGCAATGTTGTAAACCATGACGTTGAATAGCATGGGGCACATCTGGTTTGTGGCTTTGTTGACCGCGTCGTACGATAGTCCGTAGAAAGAGCGCATCATGGCCTCGATGATGCATGGGTGGTCATCCTTCATTTCGAGCGCGTACTGTCCAGTGGTATGGAGTTCCTATAATGGTCACAGTCAGCTTCTGCATAATGTAGAGAGTATGGTTTCCAAGACGGCTCACCTGAGTGTCCGTTACGATGAGGTCACAAAAGACCTGAGACCGCACACAGAGCACTAGCCTGTGGACCTGGAAGGTCCTGTCTGATGTGAAAACAGTGAGGTCAGAGAAGGCTGCAGAGTGCCAGAAGCTGCTTTCATTAGCGTTCGTGTCTTGAAGTCAATATGGCACCATGGACTTACTCTTGAAGTCTGTGGATAAACAGGTCAGTACCCTCCACGCTGAGTGCAGTGATCTCCATTGCAAAGATGTGTTTTAGAAAGACGCAAGAAGGGATGCAAATATCTGGCAAGGAGAAAGGAGAGAGTTGGTGAGGAGAAAGGGTGTGTGGAAAGTGAAAAAAGAAAACAAAAGTGACATGAGAAAGCTGTGGAGAGCTGGACTGGAGGAGTGACTTGGCTCTTAAACCAGACCAGGCAGAAGGAGAGTTTATTGAGGCTCGAGCCTTGTTTACTTTGACAATCAGGAGATCGAATATAGTTACTCTTTTTGAAATTATGTACTGTCATCTATAGCATCCAAAGACAGGCATATCGGTTCGATTTAGTGATTTCATGTTAGAAGAGATGAATATTGACATGATCTATGCAGCTTAGAGTGCAGGAGACCCAGGCCCCTTCCCAAGAATAGCTCTCACGCTGCCTCTCCCTGATTCATGGTCTTGTGGAGATGCCTGGGCCTTGTCATGGGAATCCGTCTTATACAGAACGGTCCCGTTGATTGCGTGAACAGACTGTTGGTACGTTTTTCCGTATGTTTCACTTTCATATTCCTCAACTGTGTCACCCCATGATGCTGAAGGCCCCCCAGTAACTGATTTATATCGTGCCGTGCCAGATTGGGTTGTGTGAAGATACGATGGCCCTGAGGTCAAGCTGTAAGTGGAAATACCGGGCCCTCCTGTTGTCTCGAACTTGAGACCTCTTGTCATCCAAGAGTCGATCGTCAGTCCGTTTGTCGTAATGCCGTACGTTGCGTTCACAACTAAGGGGTATTCGAATGAAGTGCTGTTCGATGTGACTATGTCGCCACGCTCCGTGATAATGTTCTTTCCAGCAGTAAGCTGTTTGTTGACTTGGCTGTATCCTTGCTGATTGAGTAGGCCGTAATTAGAGAAAGACAAAGTTTGAGACCACGAGAATCGAGAAGACTCTGTTCTAAAAGCTCTCTCGGCCACCACGGAGTATGATAAAGAGTCGTTCCCTCCAGTGTAATTATGCACAAGTTCCCGAGAGATGGTAAACGTTGGTAAAGGAGCCTCCACTCGTGGAACTTCGCTATCATTCACAGTAACAGCCTCAGAGGTAGAATCCTCCCCAATATAGAGGAAGATATTTCCCGTGACGACCCAGTATGAACCAACAGTATTCGCCAGGGTTGCTATTCCATTAACCGAGACATTGAGACCAGTCACTCGGATCTCAAATGAATGCAGTTCACCATCTTGAAGCATGGGAAGAAATGGAGAAATATCAATCTCTGGCTGCCGGAGATCAAATGCGTCAATCCCAACAATCGGACGCCAATATCCCGGAGTTACGCCCCCCGTGAAGATGATAGGGAATGGCCAGACTAGTCCAGCAAGGATGCCGTCGATATAAAGTTGAATTTCCCGGAACGGAGTATATCCATAAAGTCCGCCTACAGTGCTTTCAAAGTCTTGAGTATCCTCATTGAGAACATTGGACCACCAGAACTCTTCCTCTGATTGACCGCATGCCGAGATCGATACAACAGCGCGCGATGCCGCAGCCGGAATCTCGAGCATGACAGTGGTGTTGTCCGTTGGGATCTGAAACGCGCTCGGGGAGTTTGACGCTGCCTTTTTGGCAGAAATGGGCAGGATAATATCCGCACTCCTCACAGTTTGTCTGTAGGAGAAGTGTGCCGTCAAGGTCACATTGAACGAACCGGTGTAAACATCGTTAATGATATTGCCCAAGTCAAAGATCAGCTTCTGGGGAGCGTGCCAGAGCGAATTATACTGTGACATTTCTTTGATATAAGTCCAGACAATTCCATTTGCAGTTGGCTCTGCTGTGGAAGTCCGGAATACTTCATTGTCCCCGAGATACATCAACGCTAGTCGATCATACTGCCTCCCCCAGGAGGTGACTGTAAGATTGATCTGGACACTATCAAACTCACAGCCTGGGGGCTCATAGTCGCCTGGTTGATGGCAAGTTTAGCTACATTCAGATAGAAGGAAGGTTGCGGCCTTCTTACCTACGAAAGGCGATCCATAACTTTCCCCGAAAATATGATCCATAAGTAATAGCTCGACATCGCAGCTGTTAACTCCGCTGGGCTTGAATGATATTGGCTGGTAGACCTGGAAGACTTCTTGCAAGCCCGTCGAGCTAGGCGTCTGGGACGAAGACTGAAGCAGAGACTGTGGACTGGCATGCAATGAAGAGGCCAATGGGGGATGCCCCCATAGCAGTAATCCACACAGAGCGGTTAGAGCCATTGTAACAAGCAGCCTCGGAATTGACTTGATTGTTGTAGGTCTCAGAGCTAGCGGGGAACGTGCAATACTTCTGATAATTTAGTTCTTCTACGGACCCCAAATATTGATTGATCCAAACCCACTGAATATGCAATTCAGATAAGATGAAAAAAACAAACAATCAGGTAAGATAATATAAGTACCGACAGTTGAGAGAGAAAGAAAGTTGGTTTATGCAGACCGGGAGCTAAGTGCCCCTGAAGATAAGGAGAGGGGAACCCTGGAAGGTGTATCGCATTCATGCGCCTCCTCCACTAGCCCATTTTGAGAGGTTATTCAACCTTTACACTAGGAAGAAGAGCGGAGAACAAATCGAGTAGCCAATGGGCTTCCATTGATAGCCAAGGAATTCTTGGTATTGTCTAAACCCATACTTTGGCCAGACGAGTAGAGAGTATGTGTACAAAACAAAAGAAAAAGAGTAGGAGATCAAAGTCTCATATAAAGCCAAACTCACTCCATATCCATGCATGGGGTTGTTTACCCAATAATTTCACATAAACAGGCGCCAGGCACCAAGAATCAAAGCGGCGGTACCAGTACAGACACCCCTGGAGAGGAATTAGAGTCAGTATAGATTGGTGCAGGACATTTCGGAGATCATACATGAGCCACTGTAACGTTGAAAACTTGACAGCCTCCACCCGTTCTCTCAAGCCAGCAACTTCCTGCTCAATACGCGTTTCGGTCTCCTTGATCCGCATTTCTTGGCCATTCGCTTCCTCGCGAATTCGACCCTTTTCAAGGTTCAAGTCCAACCGGACAGAAGCTTGCGTTCGGCCGATCTCATCGCGGAGTCGGGAGTTGAGCTTGGCAAGGTCTGCTGCAATCTTCTCGTGTGATGAGCGAGTCAACTGCGCCTCGGTAGAGTCTGCATTGAGCAGCTCGGAGCGTAGTTTGGCAAAATCCACTTTCTGTGTGTATGTTGATCTCTCCGAGTCTAATAACGCGCTCATGTTAGATGCCTCAGAGATACCAAGTGCAATGCCGCAACTCAGTAGCGAAACACATACCTTCCCGAAGAACCATAGTTCTGGTCAAATTCTGGATAGACTCTTGAATGATATCGTTCAAGACCCGCATCATAGCCACAGACTGCTCCTCGCTGAAGCCTTCTGCCTGGAGGCGCTTCACGAACTTCAGTGTGTCGAAGTGATGATCGCGAGGTCGAGCCGGTGTTGCATGAAAGGCGCGCCGAGCTGGATTGAAGGTTGCCACATAGACACCATTGTGACGGATAGGGTTGCTGGGAGGAGTTGTAGATGGCGCGGTTGACGGGGAGGGTCGTCGGGAAACAAGAGAGCTGGAAATAATTTCCCGGGAAGATGACGAAATGAAGCGGGATGACTGGTAGGTATGACCAAAAGAAGGGATCTGTCGGTTCAAAGGACTCCAGCCTTGAGGAAGTGGTCTTTGACTTGCGAGTGCGGGATGGTGGGTGATGGTTATGGAAGGGCGCGACGAGGAACTGTTCCAGGTCAGGCGGGGAAGGAGAGTGCGCGGGACCTCCACGACATGTTTCTGGGACGCCATGTCAAGGACAGCGGGCAGTAGAATAGTTATAGATTTGATGCTCAAGTGTGAACCTGGGAAAGATCCAGGTCGTGACCACGGGAAACGGATGACTAAAGTGCGGAAAGATCGACGTTTCCCGACGGCTCCACGGATTGCCCGCATTCTACTGTATGTTTTGACAGTTCAAGGGAGTAAAGGATTAAAGGATCAATTTGATCTATCTTTTAACATGTCTCAATGGAGATCAAACTTTGCATGCAAACGCTATCACAAATCCATGCCCATGGGTATTGCTCCGACCTCACATTTACAGGTCAAAAATCTTCTTGAGCTGGTTCATGGTGTCCTCGGGGCCATCGACAGCGTGTCCAATGGTGCGGGGGTCTTCATAAATCTCATAGTCGTTACCTCCAACGAAAGTCTTGTCACCGAAGAAGTGGATGGTGCTGTATTCGATGCCCGAGATGCCCTTCTCCGCCTCGATGTGCTGCAGGCAGTAGGTCTTGTCCCACCCGGTGGGGAAGACATCAAAGGAGATTTGGCCACCGATGGAGTATCTTTAATCCTTGTGTTAGCAGTGCTGTTAAAGTAATGACCTAGGGAACACTCACGTGAGACCGTAGTCAGGGAACTCCTTCTTCAGGGCCTCGACCAGGTTCTTTCGGACATTGTGGATCTTGTCGTAACTATAAAGTCAGTTAGTTCATCATAACTTTCCAAGTACACCTAGGATTATAGCAATATCAAGAATGCACGTACGCTTCGAACTCGTTGCGCTCATCATGGCTGGCTGCACGTCCAACAGGGCTAATGTTGACCATTCCGTTGCGGAATTCAATGAAAGTACCGCGCTTACGTGGAAGCTTGGTGTTGGCAATGAACTTCAGAACAAAGTCCACCAGCGTCTGGTACTTGTCCTCCCCAAGCCACTGAATAAAGTTGTTGCTGGCAAGCGACTTACCCAGGCGGAATGCAGTCAAACCGTTCTCGGAGAAGCAGAAGTCAAACAGGGTGGTGACATCGATAGAAGAAGTTCCGAGTTGTTCTTGCTGCTTCACAAGGTTCGAGCCGCCAACCTGCATCGTATTAGAAGCTAAGTATGTGCATTGTCTGGGCGGATACAAACAAATCCAATGGCGCACTTGTGACGCAATCGAGAGAGAAGCTCAAGCATCTCTGGAGAGGCATGCTACAATCACCATATGTCAGTATGTTGAGTTCAAGACAACGGTTCTATCACAACCTACACGTCTTGCGGGGGTGAGAGTCTCGTCGACATCGAACAGAACCACCGTGTTCTTGACGGGACGGTTCTCCAATGAAGGATAGACACTGGCAGCCTCGGTCATATTGAATGAATTTGAAGAATTGAATCTGGGGATAAATTAAGAGGGGAAATTCCAGACCTCGGGGATAAATATAGAGGGGCGCTTTTTGACCGCAAGCGGTGAGCCAGGGCGGAAGCTTAGCGCGTCCAGAAGCAGAGAGAATGCCACCTGGTCTCGGGAGTTGAATGATTGACTTGGGGTATAATTGAGTAGATGTAATTATATAGTACATTTACTTAGGTAGTGATGGGTGGTTGATATTTGGACCGAGTCTACTCTGTACCTGGTTGTTATCGATAAGATAGTAGGAGGGGTATCAAGACTATACTACTCCATACTATGTGCGTGTTATTCTACGTAAATTGTACCTATGTAGATCCTTGTTCCATCCCATACCAATACTATCCTTATCCCATAAGAGTCCATTCCCTAAACGCCTAAGCCATGAATCACACGCACAGGCTCAGCGCCCCATTGTAGACTGGAACATCTTGGCTGCAAGCTCACTTAAGAGTCGCGTCCGATCTGGCTGTGGAAGGTCCAAGAAAACTTCATAGACACTTTTGCCCTTGGCATCACGGACAGCACCAAGCCGGTTTCCAGCAACAGCGCCAGCCAGTGCCCCGGGGAAATTGCCCACGATGAAACCCAAAGCACCTCCACTGACACCACCGACTAGTGCCCAAAATCGTCCGGTTGGGCGAGTCCGCCTGCCGCCTTCTCCATCATTTTCCTCGGCGAGACCTTCTTCGCGCAGCATCTCTTCAAAAACGGACCCGAACTGGTCGCTGTCACGGTCATCGCGATTACCGCTGAATCCAAAGTTGGACCAAGAGAAACCACTGCCGCCACTAGGTGGTACCTCCTCTTCCGCTTCCTGGTCCGCTTCCTCGTATGCGCGGGCAGCGTCGTATTCTCGGCGACGCGCAGGATCAGACAGAGTATAGTAGGCGTCGTTAATATCCTGGAACTTTCGTGTCCGTGCAGGTCTCTCGGGGGAGTCAGCGGGGACTCGATCAGGGTGGGATTTCAATGATTCCCTGCACACTTGTTAGACAGTCACTGCCAATAAAGTTGTGATGCGCTAACCTCTTATATGCACTGCGGATCTGTGATTGCGTGGCATCATGAGAGATTCCCAGAATCTTGTCTGTAATCTATGTTAGGTGGAGTCGTCATAAGGTAGTGAGGAGGCTTACAGTAATCGGGGCCTATTCAAGGGTTAGTATAAATAGCCAAGTAGTGGGGTATGGTCAACGCACTCGACATGTTCCAGACTGTGCTATAAGGATGTGAAGAAAGAGAAGCAATACAGAACTACAAGGCAGAGTGGAAAGCAACATCACGTGGAGTGACGTCGCTCCCGCCTGAGGCAACAATTTCACTTTCCATGGTTCAAACTTCTTTTTAATTACTTCTGTAGACTTTCTATATAGCCAGGTGTATATATTCACAGAATGGACTTGTCAGACAGACTACTCCGTATGGAGGGGGCCAGTCTCAGACATGCAGTGTCTAAGGCAAAATGGGGTTCGGGACTAAGTTCAGCTTGCGAAATCCCAGCCACCTTATTCCGCACAGGGGTAATTACTCCTAACATCTGAGGTTCCTGACTTTGATTCGCCTGAATATAACCTCCAGTGTTTCTATCTCTTCCTCTGAGACTTTAATTGCCAGCTGTCACAGAAGATTACTCCATACCTGCACAGCACATCCGTGGTGGAGCAGATGCACACAGCGGCCTAGAACACACATATTGCGCATCACTGCAGCTCTTAGTGGCTGACTTGCATCTGTCTCTTTTTGCTCTCTGAATTGCCACACAGAAGGGCAAAAAAGGTCTCAAAAAGAACCAACTGGGGAATTCTTGCGCAATTGCATCTTCAGGAACCTTCAACTGTGTACCAACCCACAATTTCCTAGGACAACCTCAGGACACCCAATTCCCACACAGTGCTGTACCAGTAAGCAACGTCACAACATCAACACAATGGGTTGGTTTGATGGTCGATCGTCTGTGTCGTCGGCGGGCTATGTGCGCCGTCGGTCGCCCACACGCTCCAAATCAGGTTACTCAACCCATCATTCGCGACACTCTGCTCCATCCTTCTTCGGCAATCTGGGTGGAGGTCGAACAGGAGGACGCTCAAGCCCATCTGTCTTTTCATCTTTCTCGTCATCTTCGTCACGACGAGCCCGGCCTCGGGAGGGATTCGTGCAGCGCATGATCCGCGACATCAAGCGCTTGTTCCGTGACATTGTTCGCTATGCCCGTCGCAACCCTATGAAGGTCCTCATGATGGTCATCCTGCCTCTCCTGACCAGCGGTGTTCTGCCAAAGCTACTGGCCATGATTGGAATCCGCTTGCCCCATGGAGTCACCAGTGCACTAGGCGGCAGTGTGGCGCATTCTTCCCGCGGACTCGAGGGAGGCGCGGGCAGGGGTATTGGGGAGAACTTGAGCAGCCTGATGAACATTGCCAAGATGTTTGCCTAGGCATGCAGAGCCGGGCTAGTCATTCAGTCCATTCCACGATTTGCGATACTCACATAACGATCATGATGATACACCCACTGTCCCTTTTGCTCTCGATGCTTCAAGACTCCGTCCTTTTCACTTTCTGCGTTCTTGTCCTCATGTACTGGGAGGCTCGTCTGGATTCGATAGAATCATTATCTGGAAACGCTTCTGTTTGTTATCAACAATGAAACTATTCAAACCCCACTCAGACGAACTAGGGGGGTCTCCTCGTTATCTAAGTCAAGAATTGGTACCCAAGTGGGTATTCCCCGTCGGACAGCTATACGTCGCACTAGAGGTGTGTCTGCATCTCACTAGCAGGATGTGAGTTGGCCCCTATGTAAATCCGCCGATGAACAGATCTCCCGCTGTTTGGCTGGCGAATCGTAAATGTCACGTATTACAGGGATTCCAGGGCATACTACAATTACTTTTGGGCTCTTGGCCAACTCGTGTCATTTTGCTCTATGAGCTTTTTAGTCTTCTCCAAGTATGTGTACAGTTAAATTCCCAGGGTACTGCCTATAGACTCTATAGCCAAATTTTGTGATCAGAAGAAGAAAGACCAACGCCCAAGATGTATGCAACAACTGGGTATACCCCGTTTTAAGCAAGTTTATGATCGCTGAGAGCGCTTGGAACGCTTGCGAGAAGACCGGGTCGGAGTGGCAGTGGTCTCACTGGCTTCCTCGACTGGCTCATCGATATCCTCAAACTCCCCTTCGTCCTCGGTGGGAGAAGTACCCAACACCCGGCCAACAGTCCGGTTGAAACACCAGATAGGAAGCTTGCACAGCATCGTTTCACGGATGGTTGGGCGCTGTATCTGATCGATGTCGAGCAGGAATTCCTGACGTTCGCCATCCTCGTTCTGCTCTTCCAGGAACACATTGCCAATGGAGTCAACAATCAAAACCTTGCCGTTCTCAGCAACGACGCGCTTGCGCTCGCCAGTGCTGTTAGTCGACTCGGTAGGTGTGGAGGTTCCAGATGCACGAGCACTAGCCCGACCTCCTCCCTTCTTGTCCTTCTTGTTCTCCTTGTCCATCATTCGCTTCTGGCGACGGTTCACAGCCACGGCTCCGGCCTCAGGTTCGGAGGCGGGAGCAGGAGCAGGAGCAGGAGCCGAGTCAATTCCAGGGATACCACGGACACCTGTCTCATCTCCCCAGGCAGCTCTGCGGGCCTGACGAATGTAGCGATCCACAAACTCACGCTGCCTCTTCCAACCAAGGATCAAAGCAGCGTAGTGTGCACCACCACCGAAAACCAGGAACAGACCAGCCAGCACGGAACCCAGACCAGGACGGAAGCGGGAGTAGTAGTATCCAGTGCCCTTCCACAGGGGGAATCCATGGCGGAGGAAGTGATCGTAGCGTTCACGGCCCGGGCCACGTAGAATGTTGGCAACCAGATTCAGGCGAGTAGAACGAGCATCGGCATCCTTGACAGCAGCCTCTATCTCACGTTGAGAAGGACCTTTGTTGACATTGACACCCTGCTTCGACTTGGCCTTGCTCTTGTCCTTGGAGTAGTTGGCAACGAAGGCACGCCTGACCTTGTCAGGGTGGAGGATTCTCGACTTCTTGCGGTACGCCTTGGTGATCTGTTCCTGATTGGCATTGGGGCGGATCTCAAGGAAGTCTGCAGGGTAATGGAAGTCAGATGTGTATCCCTGAGGTGTCAAATAAAAATAAAAATAAAAATAAAACGAAAGATTGCAACCAAGAATGCAATGTCAAGGAAAAAGGGAGTCTTCACGTACCATAGAAGGTCACATTGGCACCTTCATTTGAGGCCACATCATCGCGTAGACCAAAGATCTCATAGTCTGTGAAATGCGATCAGTTATGGAGCTCGCTCTCAGGGTGAACAATACCCACCTTCCTTGGACCAGGCGGCGACCAGGCTAAAACAAATAAAGAGGGACAGCAACAAGAACTTCATGATGGCGGTCAATGCCGCAAAGCCGAGCAGAGTGTGTGGACGAATAAGCAAAGGAGTTGGACATGTCTTCGAGGGAAAAAGCGGTCGGGCTTCGATCCACCAAACGTGGCCCAATCGAGACTTTCGACTTTACAGGTGCATTACTAGTGAATTGTTACAGATTAGACACGTATATATAGATCTAGACTGAGTCACCTTTCTGTAGACTTTTCCTGGTCTTGCAAGTCTCACCAGTCCAGGTCTCGCAGGTCTCGCATCCGGAGTGGGAACCACTTCCGCTTCCAGTGAGGCCTGAAAAGGAACCACTTTCGATTTCTATTCTTAGAGACAATTCGTCTACCTAATTTGACCTTTGACCTTCTTCATCTTGACACCTTTCAGGGCTGACAGATCGGCCGTTCTGTAACTGACTAAACTCGAAAGGGGCAAGGCCAAAAAAAAAGTGACTGCCTCATAACAACTCTTCTCTTCTCTCTTATCTGGCCAACTCTCGCTTCTCTGCCTCACTTCCAGCTTCTTTCATCTTTCAGCTTTCAGCTCTCAGCTTTTTATTCTATCTTCAAAATGGTCTCTATCCCGATTGACGCGATCACCTCGCGCTTTGGCGATCGCTTCAACAACATCCGCAGCACCTCCCTGACCACGCGGTTCGCCAACCTCAAGCCGGTCTCCGAATTCCTCGACATCAAGCGTCTGTCCAAGCCCGCCAACTTTGGTGAGGTCCAGAGTCGCGTCAACTACAACTTGTCCTACTTCTCCAGCAATTATGCCGTCGTGTTCGTCATGCTCAGCATCTACAGCTTGTTGACCAACCCTCTCCTGCTGTTTGTCATCATCTTCATGACTGCAGGTTTCTACGGAATTGGCAAGCTTGAGGGCCGGGACCTGGATCTGGGCTTCTCGCGCTTCAACACTTCTCAGCTCTATACTGGAATGCTCATCGTCGGTGTTCCCCTGGGTATCTGGGCCTCGCCCCTCACTACTGTCCTGTGGCTGATTGGCGCAACTGGCGTGACCGTCTTTGGCCACGCTGCTCTATTGGATAAGCCGATCGAGAATGCTTTTTCCGAGGAGGCGGTCTAGGTGGTCGACCGCGAGCTCCTTACGATATGCCCTCATGGGGAAGACCACCGGGGGCACGAACGGGGAGACACAACCGGGGACGCGCATGGGAAGAGGCGCGAGTGGAGGAGGTGGACAGCGAGGAGGATGTATATGGACGGGAGATGGTGCGGAGCGGGCGGTACATGCGACAGCTGGAGTATGGGGGCCGAGGGCCGCGCAGGCGGTCGGACTATGATGAACTGACGGATGATGAATCGGTGGATGGCGGGGACTTCGACCTATACGACCACGAGGATAGCACGGTGGCCTATGCGGTTCAATTGGCCATGCGGGACAAGGAGGATCAGTTGGTGGACAAGGCGCTGGAGCGAATTCGCCGGGCCCAAATGTTAGGACAGAAGAATGTCCGGCTATCGAAACGTGAGCTGGATGCCCTGGAGCGAAAGCGTCAACAGATGGACGGCCCAAGCGGATCGCGGCGTCCCAAGCAGGCTACCAATCCCGCCAGCGCCGTGTCCCGACCGTCGTCTCGACGAAGCGCTGCGCCAGAGCAACATCCGGGATCGTATCCGGCCTTTGCGCCTGATACAAATGGATGGACTCGTGGCACAGGTGCTTCGCGACCTTCCAGTTCATCTTCTGCGCGCCCGAGGACCCCGACTACCCACTCACTTCGTCCGCAACAGTCCAACTCGCCTCTTCGACCTACCTACTCGCCTTATCCCCCCGACCGTTTTGCTTCGAATGGCCGGCCGCAGTCCCTGCAGCAATCGCCAATTTACCAGCGGCCTCTGCCAGATGATCCCCAATGGGCGCCATCGTACTACAACCAAATGCAAATGACCCCATACGGAGAAGCACCCTACCAGTCGCAACTCCCCACCGACCTTCGAGTTGGACCACAGAGTCGCATGAGTTACCCTTCGGGTTCACCATACCAAGCCTATCAATCGTCCCAGGATACACGTCCACAAGGCACCCAACCCCGGGGAGAAAAGGCGGAATCTGAGTCTGAGTTGTCCAGCGAAGAGGAATCGGAGAGCAGTGACGGCGAAGTGCAGATCATCAAGGTCCAAGAGCGGCCGGCCCCGCCAACTGTTCGGCGGCGGGCTGTTTCTGGAGCAAGTCGAGGTGCCCGTAAGCGGACTAATCGGTGATAGGAGTGTCTCTCAGGGTTGTCCTGATATACGTATAAAATTAATTTCGGTTTGGGTGTGTTTCCCCGCGGGGGGGGGGGGGTTCCCCAAGTGGCGTTCGAGGTAGAATAGAAACATGCATATAATTGTGCCACAAATATGACTGTATATCCGACCGGCTACGTCGGAAGTGTAAGCCCGTAAATACGCCAAGGCGTTCAGCCACCCGGAACACAGGCAGATCTTCGGGGCAGGGCAAATAGGCATTAGAGTTCTCTTACATTTCTATGGATTTACCATAAAAAACCTATTTTGCGCGGTGGGGCTCTTACGACGTTTTTATTGAGACGCTGCCTTGGCAGGTGATGACGTCGGTCTGCCTCATATAAGTCTTTCTCCCAGTCTCTTTCACCTCATCTTCACCTTGAGCGGTTGGCTTTTCCGATTCTTTGCAAAATATATCCGCTCCTGGCGCCATCATCATTCCCCCCCGCGGCATCCCTTGCCATCCCGCCACTGTATTTCCCTGGCTCTAGACCCTGGAGAGCGCCATTCATTGCAGCCCTGGAATGCTGTATACCAGCCTGAAACATTGTAAATAAAAGCGAAATAGGTGAGTTGCGCACATTAGATCCACTGGATCTTGCAGGGAGAGTCGCGTGGAGGACTTGCGACTAACGAGTATCTGCAGACCTTATTGTACATCCTATTCGACCTTGACTCGCATTCTCTCATCGAACCGGGACTTCCGGCGCGTGAACTCCCAAGCCCAAGCTTGCTCTCACTATATTACATCGGTCTGAAAGTCAACATATATAGTTGCAAAGATGTGGATCGTATCATTTTGGTTATTCCCGCTAGTCTCCGCATGCATGTGGGTTGGTAAGTCTTGAAGTTTGAATGAATGTTTTAGTCTGGACTGCAGCTAACGTGGTGCTTCCTAGCGATGCTCATTGCCATGCTTGTCACCTGGGTCACGGTGGGCAAGCCACACTATGCTAGTATGGACACTGGACAGAAAATTGCGTATGTCTCCTTTATGAAAACCCCCCGGAGTCACGAGCTAATAGGAGTGCTTTAGGTACATCTCGGATGTCGGAGCCCAGGGCTTGAAGCCACTCTTCATTGCAGGCAGTGTAGTCACCGTCGTCTTCCTCGATTTGGGAATCATCTCCGAGCGGTGGCTTCGACACGCCGGCCAACTGGTTCCGAACAAGGGTAAATTCGACAAGGGTTGCGCCGGGGCCTCGATCTTCTTCGCTATTGCCGGTGCCGCCGGTCTCATCCTGCTTTCATGTTTCGACACACTGCGCCACCCAAAGCTTCACGATGGATTCCTCGCCCTGTTCATGTGAGTTGTCATCATAAAAAAGCCTCAACAAGTCACTAACCAGTTGTCTTTAGTATTGGATACGTGATTAGTGCAATTCTCATCTGTATCGAGTACCTCCGCATCGGAATCTTCTACCGCCACGAACACCGCATCCTGCTAGCCAGCTTCTTCATCAAGCTCGCCTTCATCATCATCGAAGTTGGACTTGCCATTGGCTTTGGTGTTTGCACGGGCAGCAATGACACATCTAAGAAAGACCCCGGTGCGATTCTCGAATGGGTGATTGCCTTTGTCTTCACCGGCTACGTCCTCTCCTTCATGATCGATCTCCTGCCTTCTGTTCGGACACGCCGCCACTTGCCTCAAGGCCATAAGCACATGGAGATGTCCCAGGGAGGATCCAATAGAAATTCCGAGGGCGTTTCCATTGAAGAGCCCCTGACCTACGACTCGATGGGCCCGAACTCGGGCTTCTATCGTGGCCAGCGAGTTTGAGAACTTCTTTCCATTTAAGATCTCATAATATACTGCTTGCTTATATTTCCCATGTGTAATTATATGATGTGGACGATTACTTTGATACAGCGATGTTTTTGTTTTTGTTTTTGCTTTCTTTCGGTTCTCATGGATACACATCTTCTGTTGGTGTTTGGGATATACTGCTGCTAATAACTTTGCTGTGGCTTTGATGCATTTAAATTGTACACTTTTTTCAACAAAACTTTTCATTTTCGTAGAACTAATGAAACAAAAAAAACCCCATATCAAAATGATACAGTATGAAGGTAACCCAACACTACCTTGAGGCAGCCCACCCTTCTAACCTGGAACGAAAGGTGCCTATATCAATCAGTTAAGTAGTTCCCTTTCAATAATCCTGCCCAATCTAGCTTAATCGGTATATATCCATGACAATATAGACACTCCTACGGGTCGATTCTCGAAACGCCCCGTCTTAGACTATATGCTGTGAGGCTTCTATTCAGCAACGCGGACCTACTGTCTTTCCTAATGTGATCGTCAATATGCTGTTTCAACATTCAAGTCCAATAAGCCTCATTCTTTGCTATGTCAATGCTTCCAATGCCAAGTATGCCAGGGTAATTAACGTATTTACAATTCCCATATCGAAATACAGAGAGACAAGAATATACAACTCTCTCAAGAAAGAAAAACGAACCAAAAGAGCACATCAGGCCAACAACTTCCACCGAATGTGCTCCTGCATCCCAGCGTCAATGCCAATCCTCTCCAGATACCCCTCAACACCACCATACCGATCTCTCAGATACTCAGTAGTATCAGTAACAAAGCCAGGTGGACAACGCGTATAATCCTCCCCAAGCCCAAGCGCCCGAATCTCCTTCATGCGCTCCTCAAACTCAGGAACAAGTTCCAGCTCAGACCTACTGTAATCATCCACAACAGCCTCAGTTGGCACGGCATCACCAGCGAGAAGTAGCATCAGCAGAACAACCAGTCCCGTCCGATCTTTGCCTTGCGTGCAATGCACTAGAGTAGGATAGCTCTCTTCACGGGCCAGTAGCTCAAAGACTGCGCGCATCTCTGTCATGCTCGAATCCAGAGTATCTTGGGCTAGCCCTGTTAACCCGCGCGGTTGCATCACCTGTCCACATACTAGACGAACTGCATCATTGCGGTAGCCTGTTGTTACCAGGCCGATTGCTTTTCTGCAGAGGTTATTAATATATGCAATCAATTCCATTTCCGTCTTGAGTCTCATATATGACATCATATGCAAAAAAGATTGACAGGAGCAGGGAAACATACAGATAAGTCATCCAGTCCAATTTCCATAGTAACGCGCGCTCGAACCCCTTGCCCGTGAGACTGATCAAGGCACGTTCAGAACCAGGGATCTGAAGCAGGTGTTCATCAGGGTTTGTAGGGACAGGAGCATCAGTCAAGTCGATCTCAGACGAGTTGGCATTCTCACTGCGACGTTTCCGCGTCCCCATTTGGTGTTCTGTTCTATATTGAGTTAGTTCGCGTTCACTCTGCTTCCGCTTCCGCTTCTCTTGGAGACACATACGATGATCGGAGGTCGATCACAGTGTGAATGTGTAGCTCTTCGGCTAGACGCCGTTTATCTCGTTCTGATGCATCGTCAAGCTATAACGTCGTCAGAGTCTGTCTCGGACTGTGTACAACGTGTCCGTGTCAGAGAGCGGGGTCAGTTACCCTTGCGCTGCGAAAGAAGACGCCTTCTTTCAGGATTCTGGACGATGGTCAGTTGAAGTGTTGAACGCGTGTAGAAGTCCCGACTTACTCTTTGCGACAGAATTGATTTACCGATCGGCCAACATCGCGGAAGTTGATGATGTTGTCAAAGGGCCGGTCGGGCGAGTCTAGATCAACACTTGATTGACGGGCCATAGTGAGAGAATTAGAAATTAAACATAAACGTAGAAGTAGAAATAGACATAGACAGAGAAGTCAGAATACAAGTTGGTCCGTGGAAAGATGGAGTTGATAAAAGATGTGGAGTAAATGGCGGTGGACGTTGGGCAGCATCGCCTTGGTCGCCTGGACAATGAACTTGCATTTCCATTTCTTGGGGCTTCATGAGATTCTTAGTTGTGATGGTTATTCTTTTTAATGGGAATTGAAGATATTGTAACAATGTAGGTTGTTGTAAGTTTTAACGTTACTTATATAAGTTAAGTTAACCGTTGACAGGAACATAACCTGTTCCTGAGAACCATCAACAATTGCAATGTACTTTTGCACATCAACACCCAACTACACATATGCAGCTCTGCTCTTCCATTGTGGCTGCAAGTACGACCAATCGTGATTGAAGTTGAAGCCAGTCTGATAAGCACCATATGCAACCAGCTCCACCTGACTCAGTTTCGCGCCTTGATCGGTCAGCGCCCACAGGCTGATTGCCAATGTGTTCTCACCACGATTGTTGATCACCCCTGGCGGGAATGGGAACCTTGTCTGTGGACCAATGTGCGGCATATAATGACCGAACTGGTATCCATTCATGAAGATCTGGACCACAGCAGGTGTATCGGATGCACCTAGCTGCAGACCAATCGGAACATCCAGGTCGGAGTCAAGGTTCAGCTTGAAGGTCGTTGTATAGAATTGGCCTTCTGCTCCCGACACTCCGTCTAGGGGACTGGACGATGTTGCAGCTTTGGGAGCCTTGTATCCTGGAAGATGCCAGCCCATGCGCTCTCCATAGAGACCTCCTTCGTTCATGGGTCCTCGAACAGGATCAATATTGGCTTCACCTCCTGCATTGCCTTGGATGCGCCAGGAAGTGAAGTTTGAGCCAGCGAGAGTGGCACCCAGGATGCCACGAGGGTTTTGTGCACCATTGGGCTTCACGTTGGCTTCGTCATGTCCAGTATAGTCTGTGATGACGGTCAAGACGTTGTCGGTTTCACGAAGAGTAGATTTGCTAAAATCGAGCTCGTCCGATGTAGCTGCGAGAGCAGGATCACCAACAGCTCCTCCGACGTAGGCTCCATTCAGCCAGGCGGCCCAACCAGCAGCAACACCGTTTTGGACCGTGATGTTGGCGCCTGTTGCGGTGGTGCCATCGAATCTACCGCGGTAGATCTTTGTTCCAGTGTGATAGCCATAATCCCCAGAGTAAAGCACAGGGAGCGTGAGAGGGGCCACGGAGTTGACTGAGCTTGTCTTGTTGCATACTGTCCAGCGAGAGTCATCATAGTCTGCCTTGATTTCTGGAAGGGTGTCTTGCGCTTTCCAAGAGTTCAAGGTTGGCAATGAGATTTTGGCATTTTCAGCTCCTGGAGCCGAACCGATCAAACTACCATACTTTGTCTTTTTTGTCGATATTGCCTTGCCATTCCACTTGATCTTGGTAACCTTTGAATTCCCGGTGTACACCCTAGCCCTGTTAGCAAGATGTCTCTTCCCCATAATAATAGTATCTTACTCGATAGATGTTTTGTTTGCATTATCACCCACAAGGCTGACGGTGTTTCCATTAACAGAGGCTGTGCGAACCAGATATGGCCCAAGAGCGAGAATCTGCTCACTGGGAGATACCAATGGATTGGAAGTAGTGGGAACGGCGAAGAAGTTCCATGCTGTCTCCTTGTCAAGAAGATAGACTAGCACCCCATTCGAGAATTTGAGCACGGTAGCGCCATCTCCTTGAGTATAGGAGTACTGGGTCCCGTGGTCTGATGCGCTAGAGCTCACGTTTGAATTGCCATATGTTTGGAAAGTGAGGGCCTGGGTATCTTTGAAAATAAAGATTCCTTTTTGTCCGATGTTTAGGTAGAAGACAATGACATCCACGTCGAGAGTGGCGTACGTCAAAACCTCGGCTGAGGAGTAGAGAAGACTCGAGGCATTGCCAATCTGGTAGTCAGTGACTATGATTTTACTTTGACGGCCAGCCAGTTCAATATCTGGAATAGTGATAGCCCCTACAACGTAACAGTTAGCACGAATCTTTGATCCAGATTTGAATACATACCGGCCGAGGTGTTGACATTCAACGAAAAGGTAGTCACTGCACGGGACGAGCTGGTTGCATGTGCCAGAACATAGAAGCCAGCCTCGGTTTCCGGGTTCCGCAAGGCCCAAGTATAAATACTTGCATCACTGGTATATCCCGTTCCATTTCCTTCCATCTGGGTCTGAAGAAGACCAGAAGAGACACGGGTGAACAGGCCCAACAACTTCGTCTGCTTGAGCTTGTCACGAATCTCACGAGTCTCTCGCAAAGGAGCAGAATAGTCATATGATGTATAGACAACAGGAGCAGCGCTGTGACCCCAGCTAGTGCCACCAAAGACCATGTATAGGTTCTGCAAGGTAACCCTGGAACCGACGTTGTTTTTGTAGTAAACATCCGCAAACTCGGGCGAAAGCTCCGTGGCACATGTATCATAGAAAGACCCGGAGCCCCAGGCCGAAAACCAGCCACCTTCAAACTCGGGTAGATAGCTAGGTTGAGTATAGCTGTAATTGGAAAACCATTGAGCGTAAGTACGAACGAGATTGAACCCCGTGTTTGGATTGGTGCAAGACAAGCCACCGGGATAAGAATCCAGACCGTAGACATTGACAGCACCGCCGACATTCTGGTAATCAGTAGACCAACTCATAGAGCGCATTCCTTTCTCATTATGTGAGCTGGGGACGACAATGCCAGCCTCATCAAATGCAGCTGCAATTTGCTCCATGTACTTGACAAGGGTATTGTCGGCACTATGGGTGGTCTCTTGCAACTCATTCTCATGTTGATTGAGAATAACCGGGCCACCATTTGTGATCTGGTTTGCCGCGATGATCTTGCCGACCTCCTGGATCCAGGGATACCATAGATTGTAGTAAGCCGTGGCACTGGTGCGCGCATTACCCATCTGGCCATTAGAAGCCCACAGCGCGAAACCACCAGCAGAAGTCTCGGCATTGACATAAGGACCGGCTCTTGCAATAACATACAGACCTGCCTGTTTGGCGTAGTCGAAGACGCGCTGGATGTCATGAGCGCCGTTTTCAAAGTCAAAGGTATCCTTTGAAGCAGAGTGGAAAGACCAGAAGAAGTAGACTATAGCCAAGATTTGGTCAAAGCGTATTCCATGAAGATTTCATGTTCAAGCCACTTACTTGATACCGCATTAAACCCGTTCGAGCGTAGCTTCTGAAACACATCGAGCCATAGCTCCGGCACGGGGAGTCGCTGGTAATGAAATTCACCGGAGAAGACAAACACCCTTTCTCCCTTGATGGAGAGACTGTATTTATCCCAGGTCACGTCGGTAGTCTTGCCATTGTCTGTTGCAGAGACGAAATGACCGGACAAGAGTCCGAGGACGAGTGGGAGAAGCGCGAGGATACGCATTTTTGAGCGCTAAGCAGAGGTCCCTCCATGCTTGAGTATTTAATATAAATAGATGCCTCGGTCTTCGTGGTAGTAATACCCCGTGGAGCTGGGATTGGTGGATGTTTAGAAATGAAATGTCTGCATTGGGTAATTTTCCAGGCCACTTGGAGATGCGGGGGATGTCGCATATATTCCGTCTATTTGACACTTTCTCTCTCCAGTTTATAACGAATATGTAGAATGGCTTACTATGGAGGTGTGCTGCATAGTATTGTCGTTCTTTTGGAAGATAATATACGTACAAGAAAGTCAGAAATATCCAGAAAAAGCACATAGGGAAAAAAAGTATTAGACATCAATGATATATACTCCCGACCTAAACCACAAACCATCCATAACTCCGGCCATCCTCCATAGCACCAAGTCTCCAATTTCCGAAAAAAAAAGCGCCATTTTAAATTACTCCAAATCCGCCTCTTCCAAAATAATATTACATCATGGGACATAGACATCATACATAAGAATCACAGATCCTCAGAAAACCTCGACTCCCGGGCAACACTGCCAGTCTCACCCAGTGTAGGCGGAGCAGGAAGACCCTGTTCAACAGCACTATTACGCAAACCCTGGATATCAGTACCAGCAGTATCCTTTGACTTAGACGAGGGAACCTCGGAGCCACGGCGGGAATCACCAGGGCCATTCGTCATGGGCTCATCAGAGCTACGCGAAACGGTCTTGAGGAAAGTCCTCCGGAGACGGCTTGACTTCTTGCCATTGCCATTTTGTTGGGTTATCGATTCCGGGGAAGAATCTTGCGTTCTGGTCTTGGTCACGTCGACATCGTTACCGTGGTAGCTGGAAGATCTGTTGTGTACTGGGATGGAGTCCGACCCAACGATAGGGTGCGAGCTGAGAGCTGCTCCGCGAGTCTCGTCTCGGCCAGTCAGGGCAGCACCGCCCTGAAAAGCGGGCTCACTGTCTGTGTTGAAATCTGGGCCGGGCTGATGAGGATAGACAGGGAATGGTCCACTGGAACGGCGGACGAGACGATCACGGAACCAGGTCTTGAGCTTGGAGTCGGCGCGGGGGCTCGAGACCGGACGCTCGAAATGGTGTATCATAGTTGGGCCCGAAGTACTAGCAGCAGCATCTCGCTGTTCAGATTGGAGTGGTGCCGATTGACGCCTGGGCACTGCGGGTGGGACCTCGGTTCCAGCGGTCCTGTCAGCCTCCGTTGCTGAGGTTGCTGAGACCGAGGGGGCAGCTGCGGCTAGAGTGCCTGTAGCAGCCGCCACCTCCGGCTCACTAGGGGCCTCCTTGGGTTGGGTCTCCTCGGGTTGGGTCTCCTTAGAGACATCGTTATCCGGGACCAGACTAGGTGCCGGCTCCTCCACAGTCTCCTGAGCTACAGGCGACACAGGCTGGGCCTGCTGAGTCTCAGACTCTTCTACACGAGCTCGCTTGCCCTTCTTCCTCCAGAGGAAGAATTTAGGGATCGAAATTCGGCCCTCGGACTTGTTTTCGCGCTTGTTTGTACCTACTTTGGGGTGAGAAGATGCTAGGTAAATTGAAGGCAGGGGGACTAACCTTTCTCTTGCTTTTCCAACTCACGGAGCTCAGCTTCGCGTTGGCGTTCAATAGCCGCACGTCTTTGCTCCTCCTCAGCATCAAGGCGGACCTCCACATCATGAGCCCTGCGCTGTTCGGCATCATCAGTGATCTCATCGAGTGCGGGCTGGAGGCGAGTACGAGCAACAGCTTCGACATCAGCCATATCCATGTACCGGTGACCGCCGATGTTAACGCGATCGCCTTGCGCGGCGGCCAGTTCGGAGGCCTCTGCCTCTCGTCTGACCCGCCCCTGGGCGACCTCATCCCAGTCCTTCTGTACAGAAGGTGGAGCTCGGCCAGTGTTAGCGTAGAACCTCGCATCCATGTCCTGGAGGGTTGCATCGACATTGCGACGAGCAGCTTGCATGAGCAATTCGCGATCCCTTGTCCTTCGCCCATCCACTTGGTCCATCTTGGTTCGCAGGCTGGACATCTGGTTCCGGATATGTCTCGACTGCTCTGCATCAATCTGTGAGGCATCTGCGTCACTTGACGTTCTCTTGCGGCGGGTAGTGAGGCGCGATCGTGACGGCTGAGGAGCTGTGCCATAGTACTCCTGATACTCGGCGTTCTCATCTTGCATGTGTGCGAGCTTCTCGGCAGCTCGCTTTTGCGCCGCGTCCTGCAGGGCAATGGCACGTCGGAGGGCAGACCCATCCGTACTAGACACAGTCTTGCGGTAGCCCAGCTGACTCTGTCCTTTTTGGGCTGCTAGGACGGCGGGATCCACTCCATCGGTCTCTTCCTTGGTTCCGGTGACTTTATACATGTCCTTTGACATAGAGATCGCCGCAGCGCGTAGGGAGTTCTTGTAGTTTTGCTCCTCGATCTCACTTTGAACAGGTGGATTCGAGGTATACAGCTTCGCGTTGGTGTTAGCGATACGATGGATCCGGCTAGCTTCGTTGGCATTGTCCAAATGATCAAGGGGGGCGTCGCTTTCCATGCGAACATGGCGCGCAGCTGAACGAGAAGCCAAGCCGTCGGATGAAAGGCGCGGCTCACTGGGTACCGAGTCGGCTCTCTGACGCGACTGGGTATAGGCACCTGTCGCAGCCTGGAGGGCCTTCGCCTGCGGGTCACCACCGAGAGCAGTATGGTGTAGGTCGGCGGAGATGCCGCGCTTGTGAGTGGGTGACTGAGCAGGGCCAGCAGTTCGTTGTTCACCACGAACGGCGAGCACCGCAGCGCCTAAACCCGCAGCGCTGTACCCGGTTGGGGCCTGAGGTTGCTGGGGAGGGGTGAAGTCTTTCACGCAATACGCGGCCTTTTCGGCAGCCGGCTGTCGGGCCGGGGGTTGCCATACTTCGACCGGTTTGCGGTTCGCATGCGCGAGGGCAGAGGCGGCCGATGCATGGCTGAGGTTGGGGGTTCCACCAGCTCGTGGGTCTACAATGCGCATCGTTCGTCAGCTTGCGATACGCCTTATCTCCTCTCAAGGGGTGATACTCACTAAAGTAAGTATTCGGCGCGGTCGGGGCGCGCATGGACGCCTTATGTTCGGGATGGGTCACATAGAGGGCAGCTGTCGCGGCTGATTCATAGTTCATCGTTAGCGATCAGTGTCCAGGTGCAGAGATGCAGAGATGTGCAAAGATGTGCAGTCGATCATGTCCTTACCGTCATCTGCTAGCCGAGAGGACCGAGCAGGCATCGCAGTTGCCATAGTTGTAGACCTTTACAGGATGAAAAGAAAGGGAGAAGGGAATAAAAGCCATTGAACTATGGGTGGGATTTGAGGACCGAAAGCTTCTTCTCGTGACGTCGCTATGTAAAGATCGGGGTTAGTCATTGCATCATCATGAAATTGAGTTGATGGAGCTAAAAAGAACTAGTCCTTCCGCATTCAAACTATGGTGACGTGGGGGCTTCGGATACCCGGGATTTACTAACTTAACCCTGATTTACAACCCTGATCTACACGAGTTCATGTTCCTGATCTGATTTGAAGAGTCTCGTGTATTAATTATACTTATTACATTCTATATCGCATTCCGGTAATCGCTCAAAGGTCCCCCCCCTATCGCAGATGAAGCATCTCGAGGATGTCATGACGCGCAAAGAACGATCGGTTCCATTTCCCAAAGATATCTACAGGAGTGAAAAAAGTCAGTTCGGTGGAGAAAGATGATCCGATGATAGACTCACACATGGGGATACTCAGTAGGCAGATACCCACTTGAATACTACCGATGATCACCATAGTGTGTTTTATGCCCCCGTGGGCAAACCATTTGTAGGCGTAAAAGGTCAAAACGAAGCTGAACATGTTCTTAAAGACCAGCATGCAGGTAAAGGCCTCGATTGCCATTTCCCCTATATTCAATCAGTATACAGATCCTCGGGAGAAAGACTTTGACATACGATGGGCATCGACAATATAAAGCGACGCAGCAACTGCGCCCATGACCATGCCAATGATCAAGAATGCGAAAAATACGTCTGGCACTATATACCCATAGTGCATGACATCGTTGGCTGTCCATCCGAAGCCGTATATCCCGATGCCACAGAAAATGAGCTGCGGGAGCACCAGCAGGATACGGAACTCCGGTTCGTATTTGCCATGGTTCAGGCGGATCATCAATTTGTTCGTGGAATCACTGAGCAGACCAGATAGGAAAAGGCCCACAATAGCACCGATGAACGCGCCCGTGTAGAGGTACCCGGTCTTGTCTTCCTCGAACCACATCGGTGGACCGAGGAACACAATCGCCAGAATGACACCCACAAAGGCTACCCAGCCGATCACGACTCCTTGAATCAGGCAGGCCTATTATCAGTTAGTGCCTGGGCGCATGAACCTGGACTGGTATACTTACCCAGAAGATCCCTGGATGGAAGAACAGCGGCAATGGACGAAGTAGCAATTTGAAGAAGCTCTCGTCTGTCTTTCGGCCATTGAACAGCCGAAGAGATTTGACAAACGAGTCTTTCTCGAGGATTGGAGCAGGAACCTCTGTTCTCGAAGTCCCACCCAGTTCGTTTCTGTCTTCCGGCCTGAGCTCCTTGGTCTCGTCATTCGACGCTCCGCTGATCGAGGTAGACTCGCCTTGGCCATCCTGATGCTTAAAGTCCGTGTTCAGATGATCAGGACGTCGGAAGGCAGTCTCAGGCACAAAGAAGAACGTCAATGGTAACGAAGCTCCTAGGAAGATCGCGACCAAATAGAAAGACCATTGCCATCCCAAGGACTTGGTGACCTTGCCAACCACAACAGGAGTCAAAAAGGCAGCCCCAAAGAGGGAGACATTGGATACGGCCATGCGCTTGCCTCGCTCCTAGCCTCGTTTATCAGTCTCATCTTGGTCCAACATCCACAGAACGACTTACATGAACGAAGTATAGATCTCCCACGCAGGCATTAACCAATGCCTCAAAAGGCGCCAATGCAACACCCTGGAAGATCCGTGACCACAGAAGACTATTGTGATTCTTCCCACTGACACCAGCCCAGACACAGCTCACAACCATCAAGATATGCCCAATCAGAAACAGATGGCGTTTACCCCAGACTCGCGCCGTGGGAACGATCAGGATACCCGCCACACCAGTACCGCACAAGTGATACCCCGTCAACAGAGCAGCAGCCGTAAACGTGATATTCTCGTAGTCCGCAATTGTAACGGTATTCGCAGCCAAGATGGAGCTGGTGGTGGTGCACAGAACGGTCACGAATGATAGGATGGCGAGGATGAGGTCGCGTCGCCATAGTGGCCAGTTCTGCTCTGTTATCAGCCAGGAGATCACTTTATGTGATGGCGCGCTGGGTACCTACCAAGGGATCGTTGGGATCATCGCTTGGCTGTGGCACGAGGATAACCGGCTGCTTACCCGACCAGTCGCATTTGAGGCCCGAGGTGCCTAGCGCCTGGTCGCTCGCATTGCTGTTCTGTTCGTAGATATTGGAGGTGCCTATACAGCTGGGTAAACATCATACTCGACCCAACCTTGGAAGGGCTATAGAAATCTGACCTGGAACGTGGGCCTGCTTGGTATCCAGTACTCCGAGACCCATTCCCGCAAGCTAGCGACTCTACGCTAGGAAAAGAAAAGTTAGAAAGACCAGTTAAGTAGGCCAGGAGGGGAAGTGTTGGAGCTCCCAGGGGAACTAAACCTGGACTTAGGTTTTCACAGGCAGGCACCCAGGCCAATAGGGGGGCAAGTTCAATACAACGCTATAAGGTGATAAGGTGGGAACTTACATTCTCCGACTGTGTTCCCAGTTCCCAGTTCCCAGTTCCCAGTTCTGAGGTGTTATGGGTATTGGTTCGGCTGAATAGGTCTTAGCCCGAGAGATCTACCTGTTCACCGTACTACACTGTGCAGATACTTCCAATAGTCTGTTATTTCTTTACAGTCTTCCAGTCAACCCCAGTCCCGTTCCAGGCGCGGGGAAAGCTGAGCCAATGGTTGGAGAAGACTGGAGATTCAGCAGAGATCTGCAGTTTGGGAGTTTTGAACCGAGGCATCACATTCGGGGCTCACTCCAGGTTTCTTCCTATCTTCGGTCGATATGGATATATGTTCCTGGTAAAAGAACCACTTTGCACATGCAGAACAAAGACTCACAGGCTAGAGTATGCAGTGCACCAGTAACCCAAGTTTGTAGGGAGTAGAGAAGATCAGGGACTGCGGTCCACTGTGGAGTGAACCCTATATACAGTAGCGCTGAGTGGCTTGTATCACCAGGTATGGAGGCAATAGTGGCCGGGGGTGAGGGACGTGGGAATAGCAGGATCTGACTATGAGTGGATTGGTAAAGAAATATTTATTGTATGTAAACTAATGCCACGAGTATCAACCACAAACACCACGACAAAAGCAAACGCATACATATGCAAGTGGAAATACAAATACTACTCAGTTACACAGGGTACTGGTACTAGTAGATGTATCCATTGGATCTACAGCGCCTACAGTACATCCAGCCCCTGGCCGGGTCAACCCCCGTCAAACCCCCAAGCTCAGTTTTCAAGCGGGGGGAGCTTGACTTCACCTTTGCATCTCCCCCAATTTAACCATGAAGTTCAACATCATTGCTCTGGCAGCTCTGCTGACCACTGCCGCTGCTCAAGGTCTAGGCGACCTGCCCGATTGCTCTGTATGCACCCATTAAACAGGCAATGAGCGTCTGCTTACTAGGTTTTCCTCTACAGAAAGCCTGTGCCACTGGCGCCATTCCCAAAAACTGTGGCATTGACTTCAAGTGCATCTGTGAGGCCAAGTCCTTCCTGAATGATGTTTCCTGCTGTGTGGCAGATAAGTGCTCCGTGGCAGATCAGGAGAGTAAGTAATACCAATCTCGATGGAAGACTCAATGGAACAGACCCAGCTAACATGCTTTAACATCACAGCCACCCTCAAGGTCGCCAAGTCGATCTGTGCTCGTGGCGGTGTGACCGACCTTCCCACCGAGGTGACCTGTTCCAGCAGCAGTTCAAGCTCAAGCTCTGGAACCAAGACTAGTACTGAGGCATCGGCCTCGACCTCGACCTCGTCTGGCTCAACTACTGCGTCAGCCTCTGATGCTTCTACCACTAACGCTTCCAGCACTAGCTCCGGTAGCTCATCTTCTGCTTCATCTTCTGCTTCATCTTCTGCTTCTGCTTCCGCTGCCGCGACCAGCACTGGCGCGGCTATGCCTGCTCGCAAGGATTCTTCTCTCGTGGCTGCTGCTGGTGCCGCTGCCGCATTTGCCATCCTTATTTAAAGATGGAGCGATGATGGGTCATGTCGAATGGATGTGTGCTACCATTAGCGGTATTCAAATATTTGATGATGGGATGGGGCGACGATGACTTTATTATGGTGTGATGCACCGGTATCTTTTAATCCACAATGTTGCCAATAATTAATCAAGTTACGCGGTTTCCTGATTCTCGAGCGGGAAGAAAATGTCTGATTTTGGTATACATAGGTAGAAAGGGATATCGATAACCAATGGGGACTCAGAGGTCGCGAGTGTCCTCCAACAGCTTGGTCAAGCGTTCCTGGCGCTCCTCGCGGAGAGTAGTAAAAATCTGCAGAACCTATCAGCTGCCGAATAAAATATACCATGTTGTCAATTGCACTCACCCAGAACCAGAACATCATCTCCACAAAGGCAAAGGTAAAGACCACACGGTTCTTCAATCGGTCCAGGCCACCCAGAGCTGCAGCGGAGGTATAAGACGAGGCCAGGATTTCACCCCTGCCGGTATAAATAAACAGCGCGAGGCCCGCGTACACAAAGAACCGGCACGCAGCAACGCCAATCCAGACACTCCAGTAGACAGTCAATGATTTGGTGATATACTCGGGCAGGCTCTGGAGGACCTGCAGGTCCTCGGCGGGGAGGTTACCATTACGCAGAGGGCGAATATATGGCAGAGCTTGGTCGAGTGCTTCGTGGAAGGGGAGGTTGGATAAGAGGACGAGGTCGATGAGAGCTTCGACGAAGAGGAGCACGGCGCAGAAGGTGAACGGGGATTGTTGCGGGCTTGAAAGGGATGGGAAGTCCTGGAATTGATATGTTAGTATCGAAATTCACTTGAATTGGAGTCCAGTCCAGTCTACTGGAGCTGGAGAGCTAGGATGTTGGTGCCTACAATTTTCAAGGCTTCTCCCATCATAAACACGAAGTCGGAGTCGGTGATCAGCTCTGGGTTTTTCACCAGGTAGCCGGCGACCACGACCAGGAGGATGCCATGCACCTGAATGAGAGTTTTGGAAGAGACGAATACCATGTTGGGCGAGCAATGGCAGAAGAAGTTGGTAAGGGACAGATAGATGTCGGAGACTGGAGTTGGTCCGAGTGTTTGTTCTCAAGGCATGTGGGGAAAAAAGCATCACTTCCCCCACCGCAGCTTAACGATTCGATCTGATTTACGACTGATGCCTCACTGACCAGAGATAGAGGAAGCCCTGATACAGAAGAGCTCCAGCTACAATCCTCGACAATGGCCGATCCACTCTTCAACACAGAGCGCCACGTCAAATACTACCTCCGATGCCTAAAGACCTTCCTACCGTCCGCCTACACCTCCAATGACTCCAATCGCATGCTCCTTGGCTACCTAACCCTCTCAGGACTGGACGTCCTCGGTGTCCTGCAAAGCAAAACCACACCGGAAGAGCGACAAGGATACATCGACTGGCTCTACCACTGCCAAGTGCCAACGGGCGGTTTCCGCGGGTTCCCAGGCACTGATTTCGGACCGGACAAGCGAAACAAAGACAATGAAGCATGGGACCCTGCAAACGTCCCCGCGACGTTCTTTGCGCTGGTCAACTTGCTCATTCTGGGGGATGACCTGTCGCGTGTCAAGCGCCGGGAGTGTCTCGAGTGGCTTCCCAAGGTGCAGCGCGCGGACGGAAGCTTTGGGGAGCTTGTTGGTCCTGATAGGGGTGTAGGGGGAGCTCGCGATTTGAGATATTGCTGCTGCGCGACTGGAGTGCGGTATATCTTGCGTGGACGAATTGGAGCTGGGCTTGAGGATGTGCCGGATATTGATGTGCCGGGGTTGGTCTCTTTTATTGAGGCGTGTCAGGTAAATTGAAGCTTTCTGGACTGGTTCGATGTGAGGTACTGATGCTCATGGACTAGACGTACGACGGTGGCATGGCCGAGTCTCCTTTCTGCGAATCGCATAGTTCGTGTCTCCCTCTCTGCTACGGTCGACCTTTCTAACTGAGTACTTAGGTGGACATACATATTGCGCAATTGGGTCGTTGGACTTCTTAAGCCGCACATCTCCTGATCTTAAATCAGTACCGCTACTATCAGCCGGGTCTGACAAGTTTGAGTCTTTGATTGCATGGCTGGCCTCAAGGCAGACGGTCCAACTGGAAGATGAGAATGAAGATGACTCCGAGAATGAAGTATCCAAGGCCACCGAGGGAGGATCTCTCGACGATAGAGTCCAAGGGCTGCCCAATGTCGAACCACTGGAGGCCGACACAATATCATGCGCCGGATTCAACGGCCGATGCAATAAATTTGCCGACACCTGTTATTCATTTTGGAATGGAGCGACACTGATGGTATGTTCCCCTATGAACTCCCAGCTCTTGGGCTTTTACTGACACCACATTCAGATGCTGGATCATTATTCTGTGATTGACGAAGTTCGCAACCGTCGATACTTGCTCGAAAAGACCCAGCATCTCGTTGGTGGATTTGGAAAGGGGCCCGGGGATCCTCCAGGTAAGGCCAGTCGACCTACATAAAGACCTCGCTGACCAAACAGATCTGCTTCACTCATACTTTGGCATGGTTTCCCTGGCTTTCCAGGGCGAAGCAGGCCTCAACCCCGTCGATCCCACAATGGGCGCCAGTAAACGTACAGTTCAACATCTTGAATCGCTGCCTTGGTGGCAATAGAAGTATATAACACCATATGACGTTGGTTTCAGCCATTCATTAACTGGCCTATGTCAGCGGATATGGGCCAATAGGTGCAGCTGCCTAAATTAATCGGGCGTAGGCGTACATGTACAGCTACGCAAGTAACTTAAGGGATCGGTGAACAGATGAGAAAGAAAGTTTAGACCATATATCCAAGGATGATCTTCCCTGATTTCAGTTGTTTTTAGCTAGAGGGAAAGTTGGGGGGAAAAAAAAAGTAGATGGGGTCGGGAGACCGGACTCAGGATAGGGGTGATATAACTGAAGTGCACTAACGGAGTACACTTAAGTACAATTGCATAGAAGACGCTTAAGACTAAAAAAAAGGAGACGTTCGAGTCCCGAGTCCCCACACAGGTCCACGTTCCCGTTGACGTCTTGGAAACTTTGTATTGAATCCTTAACAACTTCTCGACCTTTTCCAGCCTCTCCCCCCTTTCATACCCACACCTCCCGTGTCCCGTTGAATGGCAACACCCGGCCCTCCGACCACTTCCATCCGGTCACCCTTGACGCGCAGAGACTTCCGCGATTGACACAACCTGGCAATTACACATGCCGCCCCGAACGAGAGCGGGGGTTCAAAGCCAGAAACAGAAGGAAAAGGTGAGGATGCACAGCTCCGCAGCTCTCCCGCTCTTTGCGGCTTTGCGGAGGAGCGTTGCGCGGAGTCCATGAACGTGTGGCTAACTGTCGGATCTCAACTACAGCTTGCAAGCTCCTACAATGAACTCCTCGAGTGAGCGGTGCCTTCGGTCCAGGTCTCGGTGGGATTTGCGCTAACACGATGCGTCTACAGGGAGTTCTCGTCCAAGGATCTCCGGAGTGTAGGCAACTATACACTGGGGAGACTCATTGGAAAGGGGTCCTTTGGCAAGGTCTATCTCGCGTCACACAAGCTCACCAATGGCTCCAAGGTAATGATTTGGAAGAACAAGATCGCCGGGAAATACTGATCAGTCGATAGGTGGTGCTCAAGTCCTCCAGCAAGGAGGACACCAACCTCGTGCGCGAGATCCATCATCATCGCCAATTCCTCCATCCCCATATTGCGCGGCTATACGAAGTGGTGGTGACCGAGAGCCTGGTCTGGCTCGTGCTTGAATATTGTCCTGGTAGGTCGTGTGCTTGACAGAAGGGGCCTAGGGGAAAGAGCTATACTGACGGGGGACTGTTTAGGTGACGAACTCTATAATTACCTCCTTCGCCACGGCCCGTTACCGGTAGAGAAAGTGAAGCGGATCTTCACGCAGTTGGTGGGAGCCGTTGCGTATGTCCACAGCAAGTCCTGTGTTCATCGTGATCTCAAGTTGGAGAACATCCTTTTGGACAAGCAAGAAAATGTGAAGCTCTGTGATTTTGGATTTACGCGCGAATACGAAGGAAAGGCCAGCTATTTGCAGACCTTTTGTGGAACGATATGCTACAGCGCACCCGAGATGCTCAAGGGAGAGAAATATGCTGGCGAGAAGGTGGATGTTTGGAGCTTGGGAATCATCCTCTATGCGCTGCTTGCTGGCGAGCTACCATACGATGATGATGACGACCAAGTCACAAAAGGGCGGATTTTGGCAGAGGAGCCCACTTACAATGACAAGTTTCCAGATGATGCCAAGGCATTGATCAACCTGCTCCTATCAAAACGGCCATTGATTCGGCCAAGTCTAGACGAGATACTTGCGCATCCTTTTCTCTCGGAACATGCCCCTGAACAGCTTGCCATTTTGAAAATTCCAAGGCCTTCACCATTCACCACGCCGCTGGAGAAGACCACCTTGCAGCGGATGAAGAGTGCCGGTGTCAACATCGACGAAGTTATTGAGAATGTTCTGGCTCAGCGGTGTGACCCACTTGCTGGATGGTGGGCGCTACTGATTGAAAAAGAGCAGCGCAAGGAACGAAAGAGGGAACGCAAGCGTCGCGAGCGGGAGGTTGAGGCTAAGAATCTGCGTCGTCTTAGCGCTGCTAGCAGTCGTCTGGAGAAGCGGTCATCGGCTTTGATGGACGTCGAAGAGGAAGGTCAGGCAAATTTGGGATTGCGTGAACGTGGAAGACGGGACAGACGAAGCTTACCATCGCAACTGGCAGTTCCGGAACTTCCTGCGCTTCCTGAACCGCTGCCGGTGTTTCCACCCGAGGCGACTACACCACCGTTGCCCATTGATAAAGATTCCATACGATCCCACGGCTCGTCACGACGCCGCCCAGTTCCCCCGCCCAAAGACCGACGTCGATCGCGGCCCAGCATGCTGCATGTTAGTGCATCGCAACCGGAGTTGACACAGCACCATGGTATCTTCCGACGTCGTACCAGCCGCCGCCATCAGTATCCAATTCTCAGCCAGCTGGCCTCTCTTAAGCACTGGTTTGTGGAATCAGCAAAAAGAGCACGGTCTCCGCATGCTAAATCAAGCAACTCTCGCAAACTGTTTTCTGAAAAGTCGAGTCCGGCGAAAAGTCAGGACACTGGGAAAAAACCGGTGACTTTGTCGTCTCCGGCAACTGAAATCCCGGGGGAAGAAGTGGTGACACCAACCCAGATCAAACGAATCTCCGGTGCCAGCAGTCTCGCTCCCAGCAGTGCTTCATATCGCCAGAACCGACACTCCTACCCTCGCCAGCCGCGTCCATTGAATACGGGTCACTCCAGTCATCGCAACTCTCTTTCGCCTTCCCCCATCACACCACGCGGCTCCTATAGACGTTCATCCGCTGGGCTACGAGGACGCAAATCCACGTCGTCCTCGGTGTCCTCAATTCGCAGCATTCACCATACTCGCGCTCACTCCAAGGCATCATCAATTTCCTCTAATAGCGTGGATACAGTATCAACACCCACTGCCAGAGCCTCTAAATCACCCCACTCATCTATCAAAGTTCTGCCTACCACACCGGGTGCCTCTGCTCGTTTCCCGAGCAATATTCGGTTGGTAAGAGGACCCGGTGGAGCACCTCGAGAACTGGCCGATCACGGTCAAATGCCCTCAGCGTTTAATGAGGTCGCACCGTCACCACTATTGTACTCGCCCTCGTCCAGCCTGGTGTTTGCGCGACGCAAGAGATCTGCGTTCAAGGGCCCTATGATCCACACAAGTAACTTGATGGGCGGTGGAATGGCCAATTCACCCGTTCCCGGCCAGTCAGTAAACCCCAGCGAGCCTAGCATTACGGCAGGTCGGCCTGTTGCACGCAAGAGCCAAATCATCGAAGAAGAGGAAGACGTGGATAGAATCGAAGAAGACGTCGAAGAAGTCGATGGCGATGGGTTTGTCACTGATCCTGGCACGCCAGGCGATGCCGTCAGTCCCTGTGACCATCTCGAACACGCCACCCCGAGAGTCTCCATCGACCGGGAGGCTGGATCTCCCTCGGGTGAAAAATCGCCGCTTGCCCCTACGTCGGGTCTTGAAAACAGTCCGCGTCGGCCTCCTCGCTCGTCTTCTTTGCATTCGCCAACCGACGTCGCAGAGGACAAGCTAGGGACAGCCGAGTGACCGGTTCTCGACTCGACAGCTTTCTCTCCATGACAGTTGCTTTGCTTTGCATTACATGCGAGCGTTTCTCGCGTTCATACCACGATATCTCCTTTCTATGTTCGGTTAGACGATAGATCTTTTATACCCCCACTTACACAGCGTTCCCTGCCTTTCCATTTCCTTCAATTGATCCATTGACACCTCATTGGACCTTATCCAATGAAGTGTCCTGCCCTCTCTCGTTCATCTTTCTTTATTGTCCCCTACTTCACGAAGCGCCTGTCCTCTGCTCTATCGAGGTTTCTTATAATCTTCACGACTCGACTCTCGCTTGATCACCATGCTCTGTGATTATACATCATTCCTGTTTATCCCATAGAATTACTGTTTATCCTGATCGTTTCGGTCAGTTCTATATCATCGCCAGAATACTCGCATGATAATATTGCATATTTGAATAGCATTCCCTGATTTATAGACGAAAAGATGTCCACATGCCAAGAGGTTAGGATGGAGTTGCCGCATCTGAGGGGCCCACAAGGTAAAACGGTTGATACTTCCAACCACCTCCCGAATACATACAAGTCCTCTATAAATTATAACATGGAGACTCTGAAATTAGTTAGTAAATCCCTTGATATCTTGGGACCTCACTGAATCCTGAAATGTCTAGTCAGCAATCAGGTCATCTGAGACATTACAACTAGAGAGACTGCGAGGGAGGGTTTTGAGGGTGAATAGTGTAGGCCAGTACCCGTGGATAGCAAAAGAGCTGCCTCTATTCTATGGCTGACTTGGCCGAAGTTCAGTTTTGCGTTCAGACATGAGGTGCATCTCCATATTGTGACCATACCCTTGGGGGAGGGTTTAGAGGTTCATTTTGTCACGCCATAATAACACTGATTGAATCACGATTGAATCCTAGCGTCCTTGATTCCCTTTGACGATTCCATCTGGACTTCGTAGAAGGACTTATGTCCTGTTTGCATCCATGGCTCCATTGAGTGTCTCTGGACAAGTATCTCGTGTCTCATAAGATCATTTATTATCCCTCTATAAATAGAAGTCTTAAGCGAGTGAAGCAAGTCCCAAGCATCCACTGGGAAGCTCTTCAAGGGCAATATCAAATCATGACCTACCGCTCCACATGAACGGCCTCGTGCTTCTCATCAACAGTTGTAGACGCCTCGTGAGTACCCATAACAGCCTCCTCATCTTTGCTATCCGGGCCCTCAAGACCAAGTGTGCTCTCGCCAACTTTGTCAACCGTGCTAACATACGAAGGAACGAAGTTGACGGCGACGGCGTACGTCCAGGCGACGACCATGAACTGGGATTATTGTAAGCAATGAGCCGAATAGTAGTAGAATAGGAAGCCATACCATAGTCGGAACGATAAATGCAAACCCAGTATCATTGCGCATATCAGCAACATGACCCAGAATCGGAGGCACAATAGCACCACCACAAACACCACCGACGAGGAATCCAGAGCCACGCTTATAATGGCGTCCAAGGCCGCGAATACCCAGGGCCATGATCGTAGGGAAGCAGACGGACTCGAAGAAGAGTGTTAAGAAGAGCATGGCTGTAGTTCAAGATTAGTATCAAATTGCATCAACCGATAACTTTTGAGGCAAGCACTTACCAATACCGGACTGCATTGTCTGTGTCACCGAAGCTGCGAGGAACGCTACCGTACATGACAGATAAACCAGGAAGACCCAGCGAGCCTTGACATACTTCATGATACCCGAGCCGAGGAACCGACCAACTGCAAAAGCACCCTGCGCTCCGGCGAGGTACTTAGCAGCAGTGGCATTGGATGTACCCGGCCAGGTCTCGGTGGCATAGTTGATGAAGTAACCGGCGATGGCGACTGAAGTATGGATCAGCATACGAAACAACGAAAGAAGACAATGAATAGGAAGGAGCTATAAACCCGAGCAACATACCCTGCGCTCCAGTATAAGTAAACTGCGAAAGTGTCGCATGGAACAGCTTATAATGCTTCCAGAACGGCTTATCCTGCTCATCGACATGAGTCTGCGCAACCTGGAAAGCCATATCCTCATCGGTGACTTCAGGAATATTCGAAACGAAAAACACAGCCGCAAGGCAGAATACAAAGATTCCAATGGCCAGGTAGACCCATTGCACGCGCTGCAGAGCGGCGACATCATCCGAAGTTTCAGTGAAGAAAGCATAAGAGCCCAACACAGGGCCAACGACAGTCCCAATTGCATTAAAGGCCTGAGCGAAGTTGATTCGAATCTCAGAGTAGCGGGGCGGACCGCAGACTAAACAGAACAAGAAAACATGATTAGCGCGAGTCTTCTTTCAGACTGTTTGTGGCATTGCCATCTCACCCGTTAGATATGGATTGGCTGCCGTCTCCAGTGAGCCTAGTCCCGATCCAATGACAAAGGTTGCACCGCAGAAGCCACCGAAGGATTGATGAAGACCTGCCGGCCACATGCATAGAGCGCCTATGCCATAGAGAACCAGACCGAAGATGAAGACGGTTTTGTAGCCATAGTGGCGGAGGATCCAGTTTGCGTAGCCGAGCGAGGCTAGGGGATACGCGCTAGGGTTGTTAGTTAAACTGACGTCGGGTGGAATATGTTGACATACCCAAAGTAGGCTGCTTGGAGGCCAGAAGAACGTCCTCGGTCAATGTGGAGGGTGTTTTGGAAGTGTTTATTCAAGGTATCCAGTAACCCATAGGCGAATCCCTACTGGAGATGAGTCTAATCCATCCAGGATGCTTGTCATAGCCACATACCCACAAAAAGAACAGAATCGTCACTAGTGTTAGCGGCCACAAACTCTGGCGTAGAGTCAAAGTTGCCGCCGAGGTAGTCTTTTTGTTGTCAATGCGCAAGCCAGAACGGCTCTTCATAAACTCCTTGAAGCCCATGACGAGTAGCCGAAGATCAGATGGAAACCGAAAAGAAAAAGACCAAGTCAAACAAGGGTCATCACGCGGTATTTGAACAAACAAGGGCATGTAACATCCATCCAACTGCTCCGCAACTCTACACTTTCCCCAGTCCGGGGAAGCCAAGTGGTGATCCCTGGGGTAAGTTGACTTCGACCACTCAAGTACGCGGAATTGCCCCGATACTTCACTTCAAGTTCATCCCCGCTTCAAAACACGGGATGGAAGTGGCTGTGGCGTCAGTGTTGCATTGTTTTCAGCCTGAATGCGGGATATCATTCCGGTGGCACTCGGGTGATTGTGTCCCGCGTACTTTATACTCCAAGATCAAGGATTTGGTGCCTTGGCCCTGAGCTAGTATATGGTAAGGCGTCCAGGTAACCTTGGAAGCTATTCAATATAGCCCTATGAGATTGATCTGGCTACCACGATCCAAGGTTATTCTTCAGTGATGTAAATAAGTGAATACACTACACTACGTCTTTGGCGTCTCCCATTTCCAGGGGACTGGCGAGTTGCTGGAACATCAGGCGCTGCTAGGACATTCACACCATTCAATAAATATTCAACCGCTCGAGTTGGAAGAAAAGAGAAAAGAACACAAAACGTTGTAACTATCGTTACATGCTCGATCTTTCATTTCAAGGTCTTTCTATGGGCATGATAGCATGTCATGTGGCACATCTATCTCTATTCACACTCTCTAGCACCGGCCAAAGAACCCCGGGAGAAAAGATGGTATTTATCCTCCTGTATATCTTTCCTTTAAGCCCGCTTGGGCTTACCGGCGGCGCCGTTAGCGGCCGGAGAGATGGGAACACGGGTGTTGTAGAGGCATCGCTCAGCGAACTTGAGGACCTCATCAATCAGACTGGATTAGGGGTTAGCAATGGCTCTTTCAAACATTGAAGAAATTGTCACTCACATAACTGGCGCACTGATGACCAAGACTGCCTGCCATTCGGTCCAGTTCAGGGGCAGAATTGAGAACAGATCCTGGAGGAAAGGAATGTAGAGAATGGCAAAGTGAAGGGCCATGGACAGAGTGATGGCGTAGATCAGCATGGGGTTGTTGCCCAGGAAGAAAGTCAGAAGAGACTCGCTGGAGGACAGGGCGTTCATGGCGTTCAGCATCTCAATCACCACGAGGATGGAAAGAGAGACGGTGGATGCAGACTTGGCCATGTCATTGCTGAACATGTCGCAACCGATTTCGGGGAATTGAGCAGAGCACTTGTGGAAGTGGGACTAGGAATTTGTTAGACACTCAGAACGAATATCTGGAATATGGCAACTTACCAACTGCCAGAAAGTGATGTGGGGACCCTCGGGGTTGTAGATAAACCACCAGACGTAACCAAATACGGTGGCAGCGCCGACATAAATACCGATAACCATGTAGCGGAACAACAACCAACCGCCGACGAGAGCCTCGTCACGGCGGCGGGGAGGGCGCTTCATAACGTCATGGTCCGGAGGGTTGAAAGACAGAGCAGTGGCGGGAAGACCATCGGTGACAAGGTTAACCCACAAGAGCTGGACAGGAACCAGAGCCTCGGGCATGCCCAGAGCAGCAGTCAAGAAGATAGACACAACCTCTCCGATGTTGGACGAGATTAGGTAGCGGATGAATTGTTGAGTGTTGCTGTAGATTGAGCGACCTTCCTCGACGGCAACGGTAATGGTAGCGAAGTTGTCATCCGCGAGAACCATATCAGCAGCCATCTTAGCGACATCAGTTCCAGTACCCATGGCGACACCAATGTCGGACTTCTTCAGAGCGGGGGCGTCGTTGACACCATCACCGGTCATGGCAACGACATGGTTCATAGATTGCAGGATATCAACCAGCTTGGACTTGTGGCTAGGCTCAGTACGGGAGAAAAGTGAGGCAGTCTGAACAGCCTTCATCTGTTCGCCTTCGCTGAGGTTATCGAATTCGCGACCAGTGTAGCTCTTGCCAGTAAGATCCTCGTTAGCACCAAACACGCCAATGGCGCGGCAGATGGACTCGGCGGTGTTTGGGTTGTCACCAGTGATGACAATAACACGGATTCCGGCGGCGTGACACTTCTTG